GCAAAAAAATCTGTTAACAGGAAGCCATTTTTAGGCGAACGATTTTTTTCACCGACCAAAATTTTTTCAACTGTCACCAGGGTACAAACATGTCGTCGTCGAAGAGATTTGAAGGCCTACAATTTTCTCCCTTGTTTTTTTTTACTGCGATGACTGGGATGACTAGGGATAACTAGGAATGACTGGGGTGACTAGGGATTACTGGAATGACTGATTCCAAGGGATGACTGGAGACGACTGTTACTGTTACTAACTGACTCACCGTCAGACTGACTGTCAAAGCGCCATTTCGGCTAACTTACTAAGTGGCTGGCTGGCCACCACCCTCTTTGTTCTTGGGTTGAATACATGAACCTTAACCAAACCGAACGAAGTGGGAAAATATTAGATCGGGGCTCCGCGAAATCACTTAGAATTGATCAACATTTAGTATGGAGAAAAAAATTGACTTACCGCCCCGAGTCGTGCTTATTACTTTCCAAAGTACACGTGCGCCGAAGTGCTGAAGGGTACAAATTGCCCATAAACATGATTCGTTTAGATGTTCATCTAAACCCGAGACAAGAAAAGTCAATAACATTGATTAGCATGTTTTGTCTGATGCTTGATTTGAATGTAACAAGGCTGTCGTTGGTATATATTGGTAACTGAGCCTTGGCTAAGGAGGAGGGCGGGGCCCTCAATTTTGCACTCACTGTGGTTTAGGGTGCGTTCTTTGAGACATACTTCCCAATAAGCATAAACTGGTTGACGTTACGCTCATGGTTACTTACCAACAGTCGAAGCTGTCCTTGCAACCAGTCTGATAAACGCCCAGCTCTAGTTAATAAAATTAAAATAACATTGTGAATTTAAACAATGACTCACGTTCTATAACGAAAAGCGCGCGCATGCGACCAATCCTGCAAGTGATCAAGACCCTTGTTGTGAATTACTCCCTGTTTTTTTGTAAGGGACTAGGCAGTCAACTCTTCAATGACAAAGGCATTGACTTCTTGACCAAATTTACGCGTAAACTATAAGCGGGTAAGTTGATTTCGAACGTTGTGACGAAAAAAAATAGACTAAATGGATATAATGTTTTTTCACCTGAATATATTGGTAAGTTAAACAACATACGTCAAGCCTTTCGCAAAAACGCTTCCGGTGAGCGATATGGCCCTCAATAGGTTTAGCACGTGGTCGCTCTGGGGAGCCCATTCTTTAAATCGACAATCTCAAGTTGCTACCACTTTTATGCAGTTTGAAATGCATTGGCAGAGATTCGTTCATGAACAGTAGAGTGCAAGTATCTCTCACTCAAATTCTGACAGGCTTCCGTGTGGACGAAAGTGAAGTTCGTTGAACGCTGAGTATGACAGGTGTCTTTTAGTCTAGCAAGAAGCTGGCGAGACTAGCTTAGCTCGTGAGGCAAGGCGATGTACTATCGAACAAGCCAAGTTTTAAAAGCTCAGCAAACAATTTATTTCGGAAACGAAATCTCTTTGCTTCGTATTGCGTGTATGTTTGTTGTGCTCACAATGCATACATCGTCCAAACTAAACACGACAAACTTTGATTGTGAATTTACAGTCATATTTGCATGTACACGGCAGCTCATCGAAGACCATCAGCTACCAAAAAGACGAAACCAGAAATACTTGGTTTATACAAAAGCTGGCGTGAAAAGGGACCGGAATTCTGCTTTTGGGCAACAAATTAAGCATGATTAATACGAGGTTAAAAACGTTGCTAACTTACCTGGCAAAAACTTGTTCAGTTTTGGCTTTAATACAAACAAGTATTCGGAATTGTGATTTGCCCTCTCAGTAGTAAGTCACCTTTAAAGGCTTCCTAGCCCGCAGCGATTTAAAATAGCCCTACACGGGTGAAGAGGTCTCATCCCAGGCGTATAACAAAGTGAAAATAATTTTAATAGTTAAGAACTTCCGCACACCTGGTGAGCTTTTCATATCCGCCCAGCTTAACTCCTTAAATCAAAGTTATAAAATTATTATTTGCTGACCTAATACATTTCCTATAGAAGTTGTGGGAAGAAGATTTAAATCATTGACAAAATTAATCATGTCCTTTACATAATACTCATGACTACACTGTTTTATAACGCCTTGCAATAACAAGGAAAAATGTTATGCTGTTCTCTCTTGGGCCTTAAAGAACTAATTTAATAGGCGAATAGACAATCATAGCAGGGAGAGAGACTAGTCATTTCAAACCTCAAACCTTCTTGATGGTAGATAGAGAACGCCTAAAACAGCACAGTAAATACAGCTTATTTATTAGGCTCGATTGACACCAGCCTCTGTGAAATGAGCGAAGCGGGGGAAATCGAGCCTGCTAATTCATAGGTTGGAAAAGAAAGCCAGGAAATATTGTCAAGACTTCTACACCAAGGCAGGTGATGTTTTACGGTTATTTTGAAAGGAAAACTGACAGGTAAGAAACGCTAAACTCAGCTTACAGACACTCTAGTGAATTTTTTATCTCAGGTAATTTTTGTTTTTCTTTTGTTTTTGGGTATGGTAATGTATGCTAATAAAGTTGAAACAAAGGAAAATAAAAATTACCTGAAATAAAAAATTAACTACACAACATCTACACCAAGTTATCCTATTGTTATGTGTTCACTCCTCTACGGTGTTTCGCCTTCTTTTTCAGTACCTCCAATAGGGACTGACAAGAAAGGAATCAATAGTCTGAAACTACAAGCAGTGCATGGCCACTCAGGACCGCGATCGCTTGACACCTTGAGGCAAAAAGACGGATTAACGTTGTAACGCTTCTTGCAGCTGGGCGTTGGTTTATACAAGTAAAGAATTGAAAAGATAGACAAAACAAAACGACTTTGGTTTCTGCGCAAGTAGACTTCCCATGTTTCTCTGCACCCACTGACAAAGTTTCCCAGGCCATTAGGAGGTGTTTTCTCTCCACATCAACACCAGATCATCGAGCATGATCCACTGACGTCAGTTTTTGTACAGGAGCAAGATTCCTTGAAAAAAAATGTTCCTTAGTCGTTTACGAGTTCGCAAACCGTGCTGGTGCGACGACGCTTTTAACGCTTCGACGGTGACGCAAATTCTACTTTATCCTCACAAAGACAACAATAGAGAAGTAGTCAGATTTAGGAAATACTCACTAAAGCAATACAACATCTGCGACTGTACAAAGTAGAAATTTATTCCATTCTATTCTTTTGTGGTGAAGTTTTAATAGTTACCGATCTACAAAAACAGCATTTCATGAGCGAACATTTTGAGATTAAAACGTTAAATTAAATAAAATAATTATAACAGCTACTAGTCCAGAAATAGCCCGATCGTTTCACGCTCAGCGGTTTCGTTATTGGAAAAACGTAAAACACAATGACCCAACAGCTTGGTTTTGAACATCGATTCAGCTCGACAGGTGCTGAGAATGGGGAGAAATAAAACCTAGTTTTCACGTCTTTGCTTGGAAATGTAACCTTAAAAAAGAGGGTTTACTTTGCAGCGAAAGGTTGAAGAACTTTGCCCAATTTTCTCCATTACAGAGCTTCGTGATAACGCGGGTGCACCCCGATGGTCAAATAGACATCTGTGGCAGAGGTATTAGCTCACGTTCTTCGACTTTTTGATGCTGATCTAGAATGAGTAACAAGAGTCAAGGAAAAGTCACACCAAAAATTATCAAGCTGCTGGAATTTTCACCCCAACAGCTCACGCTTTCATTGGCTTCTTCGAGGTCACATGAAAATTAAACTATTTCCCGCCTGAGGGCCCGTTTACATGGAGCTGGGGAACCCCATGAAGGTTAGGTAACCCGCTTACGTAGGGTAACCCTTTTACATGATAGGTGGGATGACAATATGAGAGATTATGTGGACAGGCAGGTTACCCCACCTAAGCGTGTTACATCACCTGCCTGGGGTCACCCACCTCCATGTAAACAGGCCCTTAAAGCCTGAGAAAACAACTGATATTTCCCAACGCCAACAAAGGTTTCCCCACAAAATGACGTCTGCGGGCAGAAATGAGAATGAGGGCAGAAATTCCACACTGCTGATGACGTATCACCGCCCTGATCTAGGTGGTGCTTCTGATTGGCTGAAGCAAGTTTCCCTCGCGCCATGACGAAGCAGAGGCACCACACAGATCTGGGTAGTGCACGTTATCAGTATGGAATTCCTGCGCTCATTCGTCAGACCGTCAATTCGTCGGGAAACCAGTTGTGGCGTCGAGAAACGTCGGCTGTTTTCTTAGGCTAGCCTTAAGTCTGAGAGAGGGAAAGACTGCAAAATTATATAACATTAAAGGGAAACAGGGTTAACGGTTCAGTGTGAACCAGCCACCGATAAGTGTGACAGATTGAGTTGGATAATACTCTTAACACTTCGTAGACTAGTTTACATCCCACACAACTCTCGTGTATAGACCCAGAAGTTATTGAGTACGAACGTGACTAAAAGGCACCAAAAGAATAAAAGGAGAAAAAGGATATTGTTTTTTGGGTCGTTCATCCTCTTTCAGTTCAGCCTCTTTGACTTCAAGTTCACGACGAGACTCTTTCTGCAATAAAAAGACGTCAAAACGCAATTAAAGGGGCTACGACACGATTATTTTCTACTACTGACTTTAAACTAACCCTAAAAACATATGGAATACAGGGGCGAATCCAGGATTCTTCTTAGGAGGGGGGGCACCACTAAGGAACTACCATTTCAACCCTTTGAGCCCTAAGAGAGATCAGCATCAAATTTCTCCTTGTAATATTAATGCTTTGTAAAACAGAGTGGTCATGAGAATTACGGACATGATCACATAAGATTGCTTGATATGTTATCAACTTCTCCCCACTACTTCTGTAGGAAATGAATGGGGCAACAAATGAGAATTCAAATTTTGATCTGAGGGTTTAAAGGGTTAACTACCATTTTTACGGCGTTCAACCTCGTCCATATTCTTCTTCAACACAAATAATAATATTCTTCCCAGGTCTAAATATGGCGTTGTTCTCGTTACCTTTTTACTCGAGGTTTTGACTTCCTTTTCTTTGTCCTTGTCCTTCTCTTTTTTCACTGGAGGGGAAGCATCTGATGCTGTTTTTCGTACAAGTTTTACCTTTGGTTTATCCTGTATTTAAACGTAAGAAATATGCAATTTCATTTGTATCCCAGCCTAGAACATCGATATCAGTGTCACAAACGATATCACTTTTTTACACCTAAAACTATTTTAAATGTTAATAAAATAAAACTTAACGGCCAAATTTAACTTGAGTCCCATATTCTGTTCTTCTTTATCTAAGATTACTTTATTGACAATTGCTGCCTAAGTTTAAGGTAATCCAGAGCGGATATATATCATTTTTCACATTAAGGAAAGGCTTTGGTCGCTATTAATATCACTGTTGACCAAACACGACATGGAACGATTGAGCAGATTCACAAACTTTGTTCAATCTAGGTACTCTTTGACAAGAACAAAAACTAACCTAAGCCTGAATTACACTAGCATTTTTTACAGAAATTTTGCACATCTTTTTACCACGCAGAAGAGAAAACTTTTTCCTCCAATATCAGAGCAAACAAAAGACACGCGTCTTCTATGACTGCGAGAGGACGTCTGTATTAGGGTAACGCCCACCAGAAGCGCTCCAATGGTAGTTTAACAGTAACATACATAAACTTGTGAATTCTGCCCACCTCGCTCTTGACTTTGACTTTATTTTCAGAACCGTGCGAGTTTGACGTCTTGGAAACAACAATGGCATCTCCGTCCTCTTTTCGTCTTTTAGCTTCTTTGCCTTCAGCGGGTTCTAACGACGACTACAATAAAAGAGGAGACAGTCAAAAAAGAGAAGATGAAGCTAATGAGGTGGAAGTTCCTTAAAAAATCAAGCACTTTGCTACTTGAGGATCATTTCCTTTGAGCCCATGACCGCGTTACGATTGATTTAGCCTTTTACTCCCAAGATCTTGCTAGTAATTCTCCTTTCCAGCTGCCTATAATTTCCTTGTAAATTATTCAAGAGAAGTTGGAGTTGTATCAAGATAACATCTTTTAGCTGATACATTTGCCTATTCTCATCATCTGTCTGCCGGACAATGTATTGATATTACAAGGAGAAGTTACACGCAGATCACTTTTGGAAGTTAAAAAGTGATGCAAGGATATTATTACGAAAAATTACATGGAGAGAATGCGAAATGATTAAGAGGCAGATAGTATATGAGAGCAAAACATACCCGTTTTCTGTCTGATTTTGACGTCTTTTCCTTTTCATATTCCAAAACTTTCGATTTTCTTTCCTGAGATTCGGGACTCTAAAATGTGAAAAAAAAAACAAACAAACAAATAAACAAAATAAACTACCTGCAAACGTGGTAACTTGTAAATGATTTACATGAAACTAGCTTGATATGATGTTCGACATCCATACTGAAGACAACTCAAAAACTGGGGATCACTCTACCAAGCCAGGTAGCCTGCGTGGCAGTCGCTTAAGGGGCAGGAGGAGGGGAAGAAAATCTCCCACCCCTATCGACGATTGTTACGGGTCGAGGCTGTACGGAGACCGCGCCTTTAATTCCACCGTCATGTTTGCAGTTAAAATGAGTGCAGAACAAATAAAGATTAACCCAGAGGAATCGACTTCATAGTCAACTTCCAACATGGCGGCTAGAAAATTCAGCAAAGTCAGTAAATTAAGATAACTACAGAAGTGATATGATAAAACAATTCGAGGACGCCATGAATACAAGGAGTTCAGCATCAGTAATCGCGATTAACAATACATTTTGTGTGAAATATGTACCTTAATTGCAAAAGAATTTCATTAGCCTAGTCAACCGGAACACTTACTTTAAACGAGTCAGACTCGTGGCCGCCCCCCAGCCGCGCTGGAGAGCTCTCCTGCAAAAACAAAAAAAAAATGACATTGTAATATTTACAGCATTCTCAAGCAATTCAGTCAAGTAGTCCCTCTGTAAATTTGTCGATCAGCGAAAAAGCAATAATCTCTAGAGTACTTTCCATACAGAATCACAGCACTTTTCCCCCTACATATCTTAGCGAGAAGAGACGATTACTAATACTTTAAGTGAGTACGGGAAAGACTTTTCTTCGGAGCAACTTCTTGTAGCATGTCGCACATATTATAATTCAACAAAAAACTGAAACCATTTTATTATGACTTGCAAAACCATATTAACAGAAACGTTTGGCACACGTTCCTTTGGAAGCTTCGCCGTCAACATCACGTTTTTGGACAAGAATATCCGAGAGTTACCGAAGAGTGAAAGGAGGCCGATAATTTTCAATGAGTACCTTTTATGTTATTCTAATTAGGACTTTTCACGTGAACATGCATTTTAAAAAGACTGACTAGTGAGACACACCTGAGAAGAAGGAGAAGACATTCCTTCGAGTCTGCGGCGCTTCGCCTCTGAGAAAAAATTGGAGACAAAAAGAGTAGAATTAAACAATTATCTACTGCATTATTCAGGCAGTCACCTCTATTGATGCACCTCAATATACGAAAGATGGAAATACGCAACTAAATTGCTTGAAAAGATGGCTCAAGATTTCTGAGAGTTCTCCAGTTAAATTACTTCTAAGAAAGACAAATCTTTGAAAGCCAAAAGAATTTCGGATTCGGTCTCGTAAGGCAAGACTCGAATTCGGATTCAGTTTTGCGAGCAAGAAGCAGTATTTGAGTGATTTGAGTGTTATTCAAACTTGTTTTGCTGGCTGAATAAAGCCTAGCTGGAATACTGAAGAAAACGTGGAGGAGGAGACCAGAACAAAAAGTGAAAGCCCGAGGATAAACATGAACATAACAAAACGCTTTTTCAGTTCAAGGTTATTACTCTAGCCAATCAGAGAAACGCAGAGAAACCAGTAAACCAATCAGAAATTGAATACAGATGTTTCAGGCAACCCAAAGCCAAGGGCGGGAAAACGTGTGCCGGCCGCAAGACATGATTGGTTTTGGTTTCAATCGTGACTGGTTGCAAGTGGCGCGAAATTTTGCTATTGCAATCATACGTTTGGTGACACTAAACAACCGCTTAATGCAGCTTTAAGAGCAGTACCTTTCTCGAATTCGCCATCTCTAGGTGACTCGGGCACTGAAGGCGAAGAATGTTTACTTTTACTGCCAGACCTTTCTCTATCCTTCTCCTTGACTCGCTCTTTCACTTTATCCTTCACTTCTTTCTCCTTACTTTTACTTCGTTCCTTCTCTTTGTCCTTCGTTTTCGGTTCTTTTACTTTCTCCGCTTTTTCGCTCTTTACCTTTTCCTTGGGTTTGTCGTTCTGTTCCTTGTCTTTCTCCTTTTCTTTATTCTTTTGTTTACTGTCAAATATTTTAAGAGAAATGCAAAGAAAAAAGCGGTTTACTCCACTTGTTTATTCTCTTGTTGACAAAGAAAGATATTTCCATGGTAAGGCTTAATCTTCATTGGTGTGACTGAAAACGTTACATTCGAGGAAAAATAATCTTTTTTCCCTAATTTTTATCGTTTACAGCAAGGGCAATAGCAGAAAATTTACGTGTGCTACATTAGCACGTGCAATGTCTAACAAGTGTGGTTGCGGGTTTTGCAGTCGATAGCCAAGACAAGACAAAAGCATCTTCCAATGCTCTTTGCTATTACAATACGTGACTCACACACCTACTGTCCGATTTTTTGCTGACAGAAACATCATTTCCATTAGTGGTCCCTTCTGTTTTGACGTTCGTTGGAGTTTTTGTTCCCTTAGAGGTCGCATTAGTTGCGGATGTCCTAGACGCCTGCTGGCTGGAGCTACCGCTTGTGTTTAAAGATCTGAAATGAGATCAAAATGCGATTTGAAATCATCGTTTACTGGAGTTTAAGACGTTTAATAGTCTCTCAGAAGGAAAGCGCAAAGAAAGGATGCTGTTTAGAGGGTAAATAAGATGCAATTTAACTGAGTTTCCCCGCTTTTGTTTAATAAAACCATCTTACTTGTTTCCAGCTGCGTTCCTGCTTGGCGACTCAGCGTTCGCACCTGACCGTGAAGAGGATGTACCGCTAGGGGTACTGGTGCCGGATGGTTTGCTACCGGATGACCCTGTACTGGATTTGCTAGCGGTCTTTTCCTGAGACGAAGAAACACCTTCGCTTTTGGTCGAGCTAGGACTGGAAAATAAGAATGGTTGGTTACCCTCAAAATTTTCAACTTTAATCTTACGTTTGCCGTAGACGTGACTCTAAATCTCCTAAATCTCTCTAATAAGAAAAATGGTTGGTTACCCTCGAAATGACGTCTGAGAAAATTCCATACTGATGACGCGTCACAACCCAGATCTGGGGAGTGCTTCTGATTGGTTGAAGCAAATTTCCCACGCGGCACGACCAATCAGAAGCACTACTTAGATCTGGGAACAGGTAGTGACGCGTCATCAGTATGGAATTTCTGCACTCGTTTCTCAGACGTCATTTCGCGGGGAAACCAGTGGTGACATAGCGAAACGTCAGCTGTTTTCTCAGGCTAAGACAGTACAATACATACCTGGAGGATTTTGAACCATCCTGCTCTTTCTTGATTGTCACTAAAAATACAAGGTAATAAATCATTTCTCCTACGTTCTAACACAGCAATAAAGCTTTCTTCAGTTGTGCCTTCCTGGCCCTGCCAGCAGAGCTTTTCCTGCGCTTGCTCAATTTCGGCGTACTCGAGAACGACTCTGCATGAATCGACGATTAAGATATAACGCAGAGGCCATGGTTTCGAATCCCGTTGAAGTCCCGAAATTTTTTCGGGTTAATTTGCAATTGCTTAAATTGCAATTACCAACTGGACGAACATATCTTCATTTAAATTTGTATTTCCGCAGTTCACGTCATCTTCATTCTATATTAAGATCTTTGTTGAGCATGCGCTGCTTGTTGCTAAGATACAGTTTCGGACCAGGCTCTCCTCGCAGGGTGTGCCTTCCGAGACATTACACCAATCTAAATTACTCTAACTTGTTTTTGTTAATGACAGTTCAAGCAAACAAAATCTTCAAACCTGTTGTCTTGGGTTTCACATCCGAATCATTCTTCACACTCTCTACAAAAATAAAAATTGAACATGATTTTGGTTTGCAAACTCGTAGACCATGAAGTGATCTCATTACCCAAAATGATGTGTGGAGAACTTTCACATATTACTGTGTTGTATTCCACTTCTGTTTTGTTACACTGACTGTTTCATAAAGTGGTAATGTTGTTTTAGTTGTGCTAAGAGTGTGGTCTTCGTTCAACCAAAATTCTAGACTTTTCTACTTAAATACTTACAATATTAAACTAACTTACTTGTAGACTCCGTGTTTACGGAAGAATTTGGCTGTGTTTCCTAAAACAAAGCATTAGACATTACAATTTGATTGGCAATCTAAGTATAGCATGTTCGTTCTCACTAATTAATAGCCTCTTTTTCACCCAAGACAATACACAAAAACATAAGTTTTAATAAGCCCACTTAAGTCACGATAATGATAGCCTTTTGTAGGGGTTTTAACTTTAGATAGTGGGACAGCGGAAACAAAAGTTAGAAGGAAATAACAGCGCTTTTTTCCACTCCGCTCTCTATTTCGCGTCACCCTCCACTATCTGAATGCGAAAATTATTTTGATCAACACTGCTACCCATCATTTTTGAAATGTAATGCCATCACATCGCTTCCACCCTAAATAATGACGAAAAATAAACGGCGCGAATTTCGTCTTAAAACTTACCGTTTTTTCTTGTTTAACGGCGACAGAATCAGTTTGGCTTGAAGGTGGAGGAGCAGCTGCAGGGGGCTGCCAAAAAAAATCAAAATTTTAACAAATGGACCCAAAAAGAATTCATTTTCAAATTTGTTTGAGGGGAACAACAAAGAGTAAAGTAACCCGGCAATTTTATAGCGTTCTTTTTTAGTTTACTTATGTGTTGCACTCTAAGACTAGCCCTTCCACTCTTCAATAGTGACCAAATTGAAAAAAGAACCAGGAAAAATTTCCACATTTTTTTCTGTACAATACTAAAAGACAAATGGTTTCATGTGAACGAACTGCTGAAGAGGTTTCATTTGAATGATCATACCATAGGATTTCATCCACAGACTCAAAAGTTGGAACTACAGACAAAACAAGTATCATGTGAAAATACTGCTGAAGAGGTTTCATTTGAACGGTCAAACCATAGGAATTCATCAGCAGACTCAAAAGTTAGAACTCTGTACAAAACAAATAGTACCATGTGCAACTACTGCTGAAGAGGCTTCGTTTGAATGGTCAAACCATAGGATTTCATCCACAGTCAGACTCAAAAGTTACAAAAATATTACAAGTCGCCACGCGTGAAAAAGTTTATTTGTGACAACTTATGATTCAATACCTTTTCTTTATGGTGAAAGTCGCTCTCAACGACCATCTCTCGCTTTTTCGCTTTCAAACGACCGGCATACCTAAAATTAAACAAGAATAAATCAAGCTTAAGATTTTTTTAATTTCACCGTAGCTGAAATTACACGTAGATTCCGAAAAAAAAAGCGGTCACACTCAAATTTTTTCCCGCGCTCTCGGTTGCGTGCGGTGGGTCTTTTACGCGGGAAAATTTGCCAAAGTCGAAGCCACTCTACTGATTGGTTAGCATCTTGTTAGCTGTCATGGTCGCATCCTTTAAACATTTTGACGTTTCCATGGATACTTCCTTCATAAATTCTATATTCCCCAGCTAATAGGCTTTACCCCTAGGGAAAGGGTCATATTAAGTACAAACAACTGTCTACATGTGTGACTTTTCTTACCCCACAGCGAGAGTATAAATATCCTGCCGCTTCTCTTTCTCCTCCTCACAGATTTTGTCGATTCTTCTTTCCAAAGCTTGCCCGAGATTTAAAACTTTTGGATAAAACGGTAAAATCTACAAATAGAACAAAATTAAAAATAAACAGCCAGAACAAGTGCCTTTTGAAGAAATGTTGCGCATCTCGCATAACAGCGCACGCGCAAATAAAACGCTGACCTGAAGCAAACTCAACACGCACTCATAAACCCAAAATATCACCTCGTGTTTATTTTTTCGCCCTTTGCACTTTTACAGAAGATAAAACACACCAACTCTGAAAATAAATGGTGTAGTGTAAACGGGACGGATAAGTTAACGGACACGGGCTAGTTTACACTAACAAAAGTGTGAACTGGATTTTCAGGACGACTTTTTTCCTTCACTCCAGGGCATGGAAAGACGAGAGAGAGTTAGCGTACGCTTTTCAGAATTTTGACGTACGAGACAAGCTAAAAACATGGCTGGAGACATACCTTCGTTAACACCATAATTGTATTTCGGATCTGAGTATAATCCTTTGATTCCAAGCACACTACAAGAGCCTGCGACAACAACAAAAAATAGATAATACAACAAAATGTCTTCTGTGCCATTCAAAACAAAGATTGACAGATCAGTTCGTATCGCCAAGTATTGAACGATCTGGTTGTTGTTGTATTTTTTTTTGTGGGGGGGGGGGCGAATGATGTTCATCTATCATCTTAGGTGAAAAGGTATACACATAAACCACTTAGTCGGCTAATGAAATCAGAGGCACCTTGTTGTGTTGGTGGTTGTATTTGTCTAATATTTTATTCTCTTCATATTTTAATTTTTAACAACCCTTAAATTCAATGTTTTCCAATTTTCCAACATTTTAATCATCTCCTTAACGACCAATAAATTAGGGTTTTTGTCCCCAAGGTTACCGTGGCAAATTGTTGAAAAAAGGAGGACTGTTACCTTGGAGGGTTAAGTTTTGTACTGCCACTTGTGACAGACATGCCTGTAATTCTCGTAGTCTAAATGGTCTGCTTTATCGTTGTTTGTGGCCCTCAAAACGGTCACAAATCCGGGGTAACTACCACATTCCTGTTAAAAAAAAAAATAATAAAAAGGAGTGTTTAGAAGATTAGCTATAAACGGCCATATTTAAATTCATTGCTAGTCTGTGTATGCAAAAAGTTTATTTTAATCATTCACTTATGTAAGTTGCAACGTGGCAATTCCAAGAAACGACATTTTCAGCAAATGTTACAGGTGGCTAAATACTGCTTAGCTTTCAATTAACTTCCATTTTTTACATTTTAGTAAAATACCAACTTTACGACGAAGGTACGAATAAAAAGATAACAGCAAGACGATTACCTAGTAAATTAAAAAAAAAATGAATTGAAAAAGCAGTCACAGATGTAGCAAAGTTTTTGTCGCGCCGAGGTAAAAACACTTTCTACGCAGACCAGGAACTTACTATCCCCGAAAAAAAATACATTCTGGTTTTACTGTGCTCAGCTTACGTCTTTGACATATGCGCTAAAGGACAAGACTTGGTTAGCTAAAGTTTGATCCAGTTTTTTCTTTTTACATCGTGCTCTTCGTAATTTTCTACTACTTACCCTTGATAAAACAAGCTCTCACGTTTCAAAACCTTGACAATTTTTAACCAGATAACGTTGTATTAACACTGAGTATCAGGGCCTCCTTAGGGGTTAGGAGAGAGGTGATTTTAGTGGGCGGAGGGGGGAGGGGTGGAGAGAGAAAGGATGTCCCCCCGCCTCGCTGTCTTCCCTTTTCGCTTCTCTCTTCGCCATTTTCCCCCAGAAACGCCTGCCACTCAGGTTACGCGGTTTTATTTCTTTTTGTCGTGTTACTTACCTTCTCGTAAGTCTTCTTATCGCCATGCCATCTCATCACGATCTCAAGCATCGAACACAAAAAGCGACCTACAAAGTGAACGAAAACAAGAAATCAATAGGTCACTCTGTCAGGACCTTGCGTGTCCCACTGGAAACACGATCACTGATGCAAAACACAGCTTACCATATCTACTGGCTTCGTTTTCTGTACAGCTTGCTACTGTGTAGGAAATGTCTGAAAATACCTTGTGACACAAAACAAACATGTTACTTAACATTTCTCAGTGAAGACATGGGGAGTTTGCAAGTAAAGTCCAAAATTGTTTTCTTTTTCCTTCATCAGTGAACGTACAATGTACTGCGCATTTCAGCTCCAACATGTCATGAATTACGGTTACGTAACTACGACTGTGTTTCTACGTCTTAACTAATCATGATCCGTTAGATTTAATGATAACTTGGCTTGGTGTTCTTCTATCTTACCAAACTAGCATTTTGGGTTTTCTTTCAAAACCAAGACTTTGTGCGTTCCAAAATACCCATATTAACTCAAAATATTGTCAAGTTTATAGCTTCTAAAAAGTATGCCTCTACCAGGAAGGTTAATTGGTCATCAAGTATGATTGGTTGATTGAATGACTGATTAAACAATTAATCTACTGGATCAAATAATCAAGGAAGTCCGCGAAAACTAATCAGCACTGGTAACGCTTGGTTCTGTTCAGGAGAATATTAGATTTTAAGACGAGGCCAACTACTGACGAGATTTTTTCAGCATTAAGTAGAACACGCGCGTGAACCAGCACCATTTTGACGGGAAAATGTGGTGGCCGTCATCTACTATGAGTTTTAGCGAGAATGTCGTAGTGGCGGAAACTAGTTATCTAATGTTAAAAGTTTCATCATTTGAGATCGGGAGAGGGCTTAACTGCTTCAGTAAAACGAACCGTATAAGCTTTTCTGTTGAAAAATTGAAGTAAAATGAAGTTTTCCAGGGAGAATATTTTTTTAGAGTACGCGTAAAAACTTTAAGTTTAATCGCCGGCCTCGTCCTCGAATCTAACGGTCTCCCTTATTTTTCCAAGGAAATTTTAGTCGCCATGTGACTTACTCGATCAAAGCAGAGGAGCGTTGAGAAGTTTGGTGTTTTAAGGTTGTGCAGCATGTGAACAAATTTTGCGCAGTATACAGCATCACTGGCTGTGAACACGCATCTGGGAAACATGCAAAGCTGAAGAAACTGTGTGATGGTTTCACTTTTGGTCGCTTCTGAAACACAAAAATTAACAAACAAATCACATTAAGCAATTCTCCAGTCCAGAAACTACAAGGGGAATCAGGGGTACAAGCTTCAGCCCCAACGATTTCTGGAATCGTTTGGGTTAGCGCTTATTTAGGAAAGGGCAACTATTAGAGCGCGGGCGCTTGTCCAAGGAAATCTGACGGTATGAGCAACTTACTCGCTGGAAGCCACGAGTCTCTCTCATGCTTCAATGACGCCATTACCCTCTGGTTATGGTCCTCTTGTTGTTTTAATTCCTCTTTCAATTTTTCAAATAAAAGAGAACATCTTTCTTTCTCCTTCTTCTTTTTGCTTACAGGCTGAAAAATAAAATGATTGTAACAGAAAGCAACTTGTTTAATTGCGCTATGGGAATTTTCCAGACTTTAAAATATTGTTGACAGTGATTCTTTCAGTATAATAATTATGTTTTATATGAATTCAACTAGGTTGTTCGTTTCGCCCGAAAATCGATTCGCACAAAGTTGTTTCGCCTGGACGTAAGTCGATTCGCCCGATGGCAAACAATAGTCTGCAACAAGGCTTATTAAGAAAGATCCAGCGATCTCGATAATGACATTCGAGATACTAAAAGAGTGTACATGGGCAGCCCTGTACATAAAGTCTGCATGTACCGCAGCGATCGTGTCGATCTTTGATATAATTTGTGTGAAGTTTTCACTGGAAAAAATTGATCCACACGTCTTTTCACGGACTTTTTTCAGGCTTTAAGAACAACAGGGCGAATAGACTTACGTATGGGCGAAACAACTTCGGGTGAATCGACTCTCGGGCGAAACGACCCGTTAACATAACATACCATGTCCTTATTGTCATCCAGCTGTGCCAACTGTTGTTTTAATTTAGTCAGTTCTTGATCATATCTTTCCAGTGGGACATAGAGATCGTACATGGACAACGCCCAGAAGGTCACGTACAACTGAGGACTAAAAACGGATAAAAAACGTATGAATTTCTATAACACTCAACGGTTAGTCATAATGACAAAAATGACAAGAAACCCACACAAAACACTAGTTTCATGGATGAAAACAGAAACAAGCAAACAAGAAACCTTCCATGTCATCCGCACCTTATGCTGTTCCAAATTTTGGGTGCCATAATCGTCCTAGCACTCTGGAATACGGGCTCCATGACTAAAATCACTGCATCAATGTAGCACTGCAAGATTTGCTGAAAGCAATAAAATGAAGAAATGTGAGTTACATCGGGGCGAGCGAATACGCGAGCGCGCGTGAAAATTTCCACACGCGAGGAAAGTGAGACGCGGAGGGAAGAGAGGATTTTTTGTAGAGTCAGACTACGAGTAGTCCCTCAATTTCATCAGGGCCAGCGAATACGCGAGCAAGCGTGAAAATCGCACACCCGCGAGGAAGGTGGCAGGTGGAGGGAAGACTTACCTTCTGTTGGAGAGGTTTTCCTTTAGCAGCAATGGCCTTCTTGGCTTCCTCGTACTTTGTCTGGAATAACAATAACACAACAATTAAACAAAAACACCAAGGAGAACAGGATACCGACGGACAAAGAAACAAGGAAAGGGGATTGAAAATAAAACAATTTTCAATGCTCTCAGGTACGGACTGTGTTTTGCAATAGTAATAAGAAAAAGTACTGCAAAGTTCTGGTAGGTGAAATCCAAACTTTTTGATCATAGTTATTTGGGGATGTTGACAATGATTTCCCTTTTAACGAGCTGCTTTTTCATCTTTTTCTTTCAAGGAGTTTAAAGAGAAACCAGCCCGCTTTTTGGACAGGCTCTCGACTAGCCTGAAAAATCCACCAACATTTCGCGACGTCATTGCTCGTTTCCCAGCGAAATGACGTAAGAGAAACGAGCGTAGAAATAATTATTATTCCATTCTGATGACGCGTCACTATCCCGGTTCTGGGTAGTGACGCGTAATCAATGTGAAATTTCTGCAGTTTTTTCTCAGACGTTATTTCGCGGGGAAACCAGAGGTGGCGTCGAGCAATGTCGGCTGTTTTTTCAGGCTAGCGCTCGCCCTCCAAGACGGAAAATAGCCAAAATAAGTGAATTTTTTCACCCTTTTGAGGGGCCTTTTTTGAGGGGCTTATATTCGGAAGGAAAAAGGGAGATTTGCTTTCAAAATCCGGTTGAAAGCTTTGTCTTATTGGACTTTTCCAAGTAAAAGTAAACAAAGTTCAAGCCGTTTTCGGAATTTTACGGTAGTGAACTGATAGTCTGATGAAGGTAACATAAGAACAAACCTCAATCTGATGGACAAACATAGGCCTTGAAAGAAAAAACGCAGCATCGGGGGTCAAGTGATAAGACTGGCCTAGAACATCCAGAGAGGGAATGTGTGAATCATACTCTTCAGCTGTTAGCTGAGAAGCAAGGAACCCTCCAAACTGTACAAGGGTATCTTGGCACTGCAGAAAAATAAAGCAAGTTGCTGTGATTATGAATGATCCTTATAACAGTTTTCAGGGAGCTGGGGGTTTTCAAACTCATCAGTGTGTGAAGAAAGTGGTGCCCAATAGCCCTGGGCTAGTGGATTTTTTATGGAGCTACAGTCAAGTCTCTCTAAACAGACGCCTCTATAAAAGGGACACCTAAAAGCTCGTTCCTGCCTTTCTTTACTCCCTTTATTTGACTCTCTATAAGACAGACATCTCTCTAAGACGGACTCTTATATTTAACGCCCATCTCAAGGTGGAAGATGTCCATCTTAGAGTTGCCTGCAGTAAAGTTTGTTGGGGAATTCAAATAACAGAAGAACTGTTATCAATCCTGCTCAGTAAAAGGTAATGGGGGGTGGGGGGCTGTTTAAAATGACTTTTGGGATAGTTCAAATGCCTGAAGCCGCTGGGTCGAGTTAGCCGTCATGTCAACAACCAAGTTTATGAGGTCCCATTCGCTTTCACTGATTATTATAAATTCTCCTACCTCCCAAGAACAATAATAGAGCAGAACGTTTTACCCAATGAAACAGTAAATGCCCCTTCTTCGATGGCATTTACAAACTACCTTTGATTTAATTTATAATATTATTTATTACTTTTATCTATTTATTTATATATACATCGACCGCTGGCCAATTTGCAAGAATCATCAGTTATTGTGATGGAGGCAAATAAATGGTAGATGGTAGATGGTAGCTAGAGCTTGCCAAGCTGGCAAGCTGTAAAACTGACTTTCTTTACAACATGCTCATTGATACTTCATAGAGAAAATGCAAAGGACATGACTGCTTAATCAGTATTGGAAATCAGGTAGAAAAGTAAGTATTGTACTTTAGTGATATAGAAAACACTGCATGTGTATACCTGATCATAAAGCTTTCCTACAAGCTTCAAATGTCTGTCAGCATTTTCATAGAACACAATGCCATTTCGCTGTTGCGCCATTAACAAGCAGAGTGGTAGGTCCAGCTTTCCTTCTAGCAGTGTGTCACGCAGTCTCTGTGAAGATTTTTTCGTGTTTCTAATCTGTCCAAAATATCCACCCTACAAAGGGATAAATGAGCAATTACAATGATTGAAAAGCTACTTGGAAGAGAGCTTTTAGTACAAAACAAATGCCTTCTGTTTGCCTTGACCAAGTCAGGAGATTCTCAAATAAGCCCCACGTCTCTAATACGCTCTCCCTTATCAGGGGAAGAAGTTAATAAGCCCCCCTCCCCTCCCCCTTATTATTGTTATCCACTAATGAATGACAGACTGCATTAATCAATCACGATTGTAAAACTTTGTGTGGACTGATCTAGGTTTATTTTGATGGTTTATTCACCAATGGAAGTTTGGATTTGTTTTTTTTTTTTTTTCCGTGGCTGCATGACCTCCAACTACTTGAGGTACTTGAGGTTTTCCGCTTTGCGTTCTAGTTCTTTATGGACAACTGATACCAACGTTTTTGCTAAATCAAATGAGCCCCCAGTCTCTATTAAGCTCCCCTCAAAAGTGTTTGAAATAAATAAGCCCCTAGACTCGAGCTTAATAGAGGATTTGTGGTACTGCCTCAGTGACAATATGGATATGGCTGTCCCACATCCATCCAGAGACACCAAAACAACATCTTTAATTAGCACTTTCAGCTAAAAACATTGGCACTCAAAAAAGTGCATTTATTTTTGTATGTAAGGTGTTTTAACATTAGACTGAGCGACATTTAAGGCATTTCTTACATTCCCCTTTTCTTGGTTCAACAAAATACCACGGAATTTGTGGAGAGTCATAAGTTGGAATCAGTTTGAGTCAATCAACTTTAATAAGCATAGATTAATTTGTTTAATTACCTCGGCTCTAAGTAACTCTCCTCCTGAGAGAGCTTCTAGCTGAGCGGCTGTAACTTCTTCTGAAATCTCAATCCCTGACATTTTCTGCACCACCTCTTTTAGTACCAGCAAATCAAAACTCTTCCCTGCCTTGAGTTGATTGGCAACATACTGCAGGAGACCCGTCAGTTCGATGGAGTACTTGCGGAAAACAGTGCCACAAAATACTGCTAAACCTGGAGAACAATGTGCAGAGAAGTAATTAGTGGAGGTAAAATAAGAAGCTTGAAATTCTCCGTAATGTTTTCAACCTTTCTGGTGTTAACAACTGTTACACAAGGCTGTTGTCAAGGGCAGACACCCAGGGATTTTCACGGGCTACCATGAACATGCAGGCCAGTGTCCTATCAGAGCCCGGTGGCCTCTGGCGCCTAACTTTTGCTCTTGGGCAACTAGAAAATCTTCCTTCTTTCACACAATCATATACTGGATACCCTAGGTTTTACATGTTTAGAGCAACGGGCTTCCACCACGTGACCTGTAAATAACTGCCTACAAATAATGATCTGCTCATGAGCAATGTCGTCCAACTGTGTTTGGCTACTAATAATATTCTGCTTTTATCCTTCTTGCGATCGCTCTGAGGTAAAAATGGCAGATCGCTTCACTGACCTTTGAGAGTTTAAAAAACAAACTTGTTGATCTAATGATAACACAATTATTGAACTCGGTCATCACAAAATATTGTGATTTGTCACTGTCTCACAGATCAATAATTTGCCTCAGCCTTTGGCTTTGGCAAATAATTGATCTGCTTGCCACTGACAAATCACAATATTTTGCTAATCCTCGTCCAATAATTGTTAATTATTATTCATAAGTTAACAGTATAGATTGTAGCATCAACAGATAATTCACAGTTTACTGCATACTTTTTAACCACTCAGAGATATTTGTGTCTTCATGTTTTAATCTTTCTCTCTCAGGATTGGCCAGAGCTTCTATAATACAATCTGTCTACAAGTTAAGGAAATGAACCACTGCAACTACATATTATAAAAATTAATCAAATGGATAAACTGCTGACACTCCCTTCAGGGACACCTCAAAAGATGGACACCCACCTAAAAACAGACACCTACAAATAGACTTTTTGTCCCTACCATTTTAATCTTCAGTCACTATTTTTGACATTCTACAGGGCAGACACCACTCTAAGAATTAGACGGACTTTTATATTGATTACATTGTATAAGGCTACAGTAGTATGTGCTCTCTGACTGGCTGCTGAGCCAGCAAGATTTTCTTGTAATGACCAAGCATTATGAATTTTTTTTAAAGTGGTTAAATTTGGCCTGGATCTTGATGTAATAAAGACAAAAATTGTCTCATTGTCAAAGAAACTGTGCCTTGTGGTTTCGATTGCATCACCTGGTTTGTTTCAGTTCACTGAACATGACCTTGAATGACCTAGTAAGCTCGTAAGGGGATGTTGAAAATTACTTCCAGTGTTTAGGCATATAAGAGATTACTTATTAACCTCGTCCACTCAATCATTATGGGAAAATCTCAGACTTCGCCTTGATGTATTGACCCCAGTCTGAGATTTCCCTGTAATGACCTCACTCTCGGTTGATAGGTGGTATTTAATGCCAGTCCTAATGATGTACATTTTAGAGTCAACTGTATAAATACGTAGTAGGCAGCAGGTTTTCAAGCCCTTGAGCCCTGTCACTGACCAGCATTCAATTTCTCCCATGAATACAACTGGTTACTGTAAATCAAATACATAAACAACAAGGATACAAGCTAACACATCATAGGCCAGAGGAGTAAGGTACTTTAGCGAGTCCACAACAGGGCCAATGAAGTTATCATACTTTTGAATCTGGGACAGGAGCTGAAACCAAAAAGATAAAACAAATTTTAGGGATCCTTTAGTCTGATAACCAGATCCTTCGTGGAGTAACTGCAGAATACTTGGCCAATCAAAAGCAACGTGGCTATGTTACTAGTCAAAATTAAATTCAGGTTAAATTTTTTTAACCAAGGTTGATACTCCTTTTTTTTGTCTCCTAGCCCTAAGTCATTAATAGTTAGGGCCAAAAGACAAAGGACCTAGGTTGAAAAATTTTACCCTGATTTTTCATTTTGACGTGTAACAGCTACACCACTATGTGGCTTTAAGTGCTGCAGTGCCCTAAAGAACAAAGCATATGGCTATGCAGCTTTGCGACTACATGGTTATTTGACTGCTACCAGCATAGAGGTATAGCTTTTGAGTGGTCAGGTGTTCTGCAATTAAGCTGATCATACAAAACATAAAACTTGTGATGTATAAATTCCAAAGATGCTGCCCTGCTTTGTTTTCAACTTTAAGATGTGGCAGAACAACAAGTTTGATAACTCACATATTCAAACAAGATTCCTGGATTACTGTGGCTTAGTTTTCCGATCTGCCTTCCAGATGGTTTGACATTTTCTTTTGTTAGTCTCCTACAACACAAAAACCACAGTCACATCAACACTGACAGCAGTTACTAATGTTTTTCCTCATTCTGAACCAAGAACTCTTACATGTATGTGGTCAATATCCAGTAAACAAAACTTCAGGCTAGAGGAATGATTTGAGGGCAGATTAAAGAGTTGACGCACGTTAATTTTCTGGTAGGTAAAAACTCTTCTTGAGTGCCTCAAAAATTTGTTTAAGTAAGAGAGTAAATTATTGGTTCTCATAGAGCCAACTACAGTGCAGATGGTGATGTGATTTTACCAACAGATCAGAAAAAAAAAACAATGACTTGCTGTTACTTCAGTAATAGCTAGAGCCAGAGAAAGTTAATATCGAAATAACACATAGTATGTACTTAACTGGAAAAATGTTAAGTAACCTCAGATGGAGCAAAACCACTATTTACAACCCAGTGTGTTATTGTTCACACACTTGTAAACAGGCAATATCAGGCAATGTCAGACTAGGGAATTACCCATACAGAAAGTTAAAAATCATACCACCTGATTATCCACGCTGCAATAACTAAACCCATGGGTGCTGTTTAATTAAATACCAACTTACTTTGTGATGTATTTTGCTCTCTTTATTGTTGCAGCTTTGGCCAAAACCAGTCGAGGATGGCTGCTGTATGATTCATTCTTCCACTGACCATAAAGTCGATATCTAGAGAAAGAAACACACATTTGATACATGTTGCACTTAACTAATTTTTTATGCAAAATAATTTGCATCTTGAAACTAACAATAAATTATACTATTGCCAGTAACATTTTGGACACGACGCTACAGCAACAAAAACGTTACTACTACTTAAGTTACACCTTTCATATGTAGGTGTAGGTACAGGATTTCATTCTACTGTAGTTGATTTCAGGTTGATGCAAACAACAATTTTATTACAGAATTAGACCTAAATCAATTAGTCAGTTAAGAGACCATGAAGTGTCAATTTCTACAGATCTGAAATGTGGTGCTCCTTATAAAGAACAGTAACTGCATATGTTTGTGGATGAACGAATGCAGTGGCAGTATTCTCCAGTCACAGCACGAGAGACCCACACTTGATATTGGAAGCTTGCAGCATGAACGGTTAATCAAATAAGCTGATTTCCTCTATGAGAGGAAAGCCAGCCCACCATTCATGCACATAACTACACTTCCATAAACTTAAAGAGAGTGTTTCAAGTTGAAATGATTTGTATGATTTACAGGGATAATCATATGTATTTCCTTGAGTGAGTGCCCAGTCACTTATTTCAAATTTATTTTAAAAGGATGGGCACTTAATAGAAGGCGGGCACTTCATCGAGCGAGGCACTTGTAATGTTTCCTTATAAACAAACTACTGAAGGGTTTAGTTTTTCCTGGGAAGATAACAGCATTTACAAGGAGCACAGACAACAGGACAAAAATTAATAGACGAGATAACGCACATAATAGAACTCTGCAAGAGTGCACATGGATATACAAATAACTGCGAGTGACTTGACACAAAAGAAACTATTTTCCTTTACTGATTCTGATGTGGGTCAAAGCCTAAAAGGGTAAAAAACAGAGTGGCCATAGATGTTGCTTTTCCTTGTATCCCTACCATTAAGAAAGGGAGGGGAAGAGGAGGGGGGGGGCACTTATCAGAAGAGGACCCTTACTTGATATATTAGCCTTGGGGTGGGTGCTTATTCAAGGAAATACTGTACACCATATAACATGAAAGACATTGATGTTCTGTGATTGTTTCCTGAAAAAATTCCTCTTTCTTTAAATTTGCAAAGCAGATTTGAATGAAACAATGGTAATAATACGCCTATAACTGATGGTATTGTGCATGGGTTGACTCACCTAAGCTCATAAGGAAAGCGGCACATCATGGCCCACAGTTCCTCTGCTAAACTAGAGTTACATTCCAGTAATGAAATTGAGGGCAGAAGAACTTCATCTACCAGTGTTAGAAGACCACACCAAACTTTCTCAACCTGTAATTTAAAGATTATCATATTTTTTATTATCATTAAAGGTGCAGAATATCTAAGGGCGAGCATCACAAGCATAGCAATGTGGACATAATACATATTTATCAGCAAAACACATACTCATAAACAAAATTGCTACAAAAAAAAACAATAACAATTTGTTGTCGGACAATGTTGAACTGAAATATGCCCAAAGTCAAATGAAAACCTATCTGCTGTCATACATGATGACCAGACAAGAAAATGATAAGCCAACTTTTTAGCCCAACAACTTAACATGATAGCCCTTCAATGAATTTTCCTCTAGCACAACACTGTTGGGATAAATAATACATAGGTTTGATTCTCCATAGAAGTAACACTAAAGAATGACGTGTACCTGCAATGAACGCTGCTCCTTGTCTTCAAATACATTTGGATACTAATGACAAGAACAGAGACTCATCAGGATTTCACGTAAATGAGACTAGAGTCAGTAGTTACAGTAAGTTATTCCTCATCAGTCAAATTTGTTTTCATGACTATCAAAGATTTTGATTAAACATCATTTGAGGACACTAAGTAAAAATCACTGTAACATCATTATCTACTGAATATGGACCAGAAAAACCTCAAACATAAAAATTTTTCAAGAGTTCTTTCCTCATTATCTAGAGTGTGTCGCAGATGTAATGTAACCCTGATTAGTAACCTCTGTGAAGCAGTGCCGAGATCCTTGTTCTGGGCTTCCAACAAACTTAATAAATTACTGGAAGTGGGTTTTAAAATTCCCTTCAACCTGATTGGAAAATCGACAACGGCTGTTTTAACAGGCCTATCATGGCACGTACTCAAATCCTGGTAAATAGGTGAGGACCCAGAATAAGGATTTCCATGCTGTTTCACAGAAGTTACTAAATAAATCAAGGTTTAGTTCCATCTGTGGCACAGGCTATTTCCTCACTGAATCTTTAAAAAGCGATTAAACTAAAAATTGCCTTACGTCTTTCATGAAGCCTTTACTAATCCGAAGAATCTTAGCCATGAGAATAGGATCACTTGACAGATGAGGGCCAAGATGAATCAGCATTGGAAATACACAGTGTGGCAAATCAGTGAAGGCTTTACACTGAGGTGGCCCCCCTGGGACTGGAGCGTAGGGGCGTCCACGGGCTGCCTTTGAAGAATGCCTAAAAAACGGTAAAATACATACAGTCATGGACACAAAGTCTTGGCACATATTTTTTTATGTGTGCTTTTTACACACTAAGTAAGGGACCCATCTGTTGTCAAACACCAGCCATTCTATTTATAGACAAATGTAGAGAGGAAAAAGTCTGTTAAGTTATGAAAACACTAGCCTGTTAACCATGAAACTTTATAAATCACAAATGTGGGGAGGGGTCACTAGGAACTACAAGAGCACAACTCTACTTTCTTAACACTTCCATTAATTAGGCTCTACCCAGTGCAAAATAAAATATACAAATTGTCACAAGAGCCGGGGCCGGGGGTTTCCTGGCTAGGGTCCCCGCTACTTTTAGGCAAATAGAAGAAAAAGAACCAAAAGAAATCCCTTGCTCTTGATTCCCCGCCTAACACTTCCATTAAACTAAATCTTAGTGACAATACTGTATACACAAAATAAGTACTGATATCATACAACACTATAAAATTTTCCATGCAATATTTTATTATTTTCCATCTATAAATCATGCCACTTGAACCACAATTTCTTGTTGACCTTTAAACTGCAAAAATATTAAAGATCAACACTAAAGATTGAACTTCTAAGTAAATACAAAAACAAGGAGAGCCTAATCTCTCATAAGCTCCTATCATTACTGCTAGGTCCCCTCACTTCACCACTTCTTTTTCCTACTATTATTTTACTATCAATTTATTATATTATTTGTAATTTTTGTGTGTGTGTTGCAAATTAAAAAAATAGATACATAAAATAAAACAACATGACAAAACTAACCTGCGGTAGAGTGGTTCAATTGTGGTATGGATCAACTTGCACAATGCTTTGGATATAGGAGGATGTGAGACAGCAGCAAACTGTGGTAGTCTTTCAAGTACTGAGCGCGCTTGATCCCATCCTCCTACCATCAATAGTGCTTCACATACACCAAATTTCTGATTATCTGGTGCCTGCAGAAAAAAACATGAAAATCATTAACAATTTAGGTAAGTTAGTTTGATCAAGCGCCAGCTCTCCGATAGTGGTGAACCCAGTGTCTTCAAGCAGAGTGAGTATGTATAATTATGGTCTTAGGTCTTCCTCTCTTAGTTTGTCCGTGTTGTGGCTGCTACAACACAAGCTTTGATGCCTCCTCAAGGCTGTGCTCTAGAAGAGAAATCATATGCTGGGCACCCTGGATTTCACAAGTTCAGAGCACTGGGCTCCGTTCAATTTTTGTTAGAGCACAGCCTTGCTCCTCCTCTTTGTGTCCAACACAATGCCCAGCTACCCTCATTCGTCTTTCCCTGATCTTGCTAGAAACTTTAAGGAGGTGACCGTACAGATCTTCATCGGTAATGTGATCCATCCAAGAAACATTTAGTACTGTGGAAAGCATTCTAGTATAGGCACCATCAACTATTAGATAAAAAGTTCTAGAATTCACGGTGCCAATTTCCCTCCTTGTGGTAAGTGCCTGAATTGTAGACAAACCACAGAGATGAGAATGGAACAGAGCATATGAACTTTAATGTGCACTGTGCTGTTTCTTCAGTCTTATGATGAAGACTTAGACAACCAAGGCCATGAATTTATTATCAAACCAGTAACGGTACTTACAATTTGTGGCTTATCATTTTCTTTACTGTTTTCTTTGTTACTTTCTTCATTGTTTGCAGCAGCAATTTCCTTTCAGACAACAAATGGACAGATGTTAGAGTGTTAGAAAGGCTAAATAATCAGATATCAATTACAATGTACAGCACCTCTATTCAAGGACAAAATTTCTAGGGCAGAAAAACAATGCCATCACTTTAATCCTCATCAGCAAAAATCAAAATTATCTCAAACAGGGCAAAGAAAAAACCATGCCATCATTTTTGCTATCCTCTATCGGGCTAGTGAATTCTGTTGTTCACTTGCTCAACAGGCAAGTGATGTTTCTTGACCAATTCGAATAACAGAAGAACTATGAAATCAATTCTGCTCGTCAAAAAGCATCTGAGGCTAGTTGAAATGACGTCTGCGCTAGTAAATGCTAGCTTAAGCTTGCCCGAATGGCAAGCTGTAAAAATGATTTTCTTTGCAACCTGTCAAAGATTTTTATTTAAACCACCATTTGAGGATAAAAAAATTCTATATTTCCTACAGTTATCAATGGCTCTTTGGCGTGTCCCAACTTCATGCCTTCTAGAGGTCAATATTCCCCAACATTCAGGACTAACTTTGCACTGTTTGTAAACTTACAGCCAACACTGCCATATTCATTTTTCTTGCTTCTTGCTTTGCCTCATCCATTTTTGTTGTATTACTTGTAGCTATGTCTGCATCTGATGGACTCAACTGGAAAACATACATGTACAGGGTGTCTCATAAGCAGGAAAAATGGATGTGCATAAAAAGGCAAAAATTACACAAAAAATTACTGAACAAAAATATGGTACAGTTACAAGACCGTAAACATGAAGAAAGTTATGCTACAGTACCTCATTTTACAACTGTTTCTAACCCTTTAACCCCTAGACTAATTAGTTATGACATGATTTTTACACAGCTTTTAAATCTGTGGATAAAATCCTTTGGTGTTACCATTCAATTGAAAACTCTTAGGCAGAACTTTTGCATAGTGCGATTTATTTCTACAGATTTTACAACAAGAAATTTAAAATTTATTTGAGCCACTATAAGGAATAAAAGGATGGCTTTACTCACATAAAGATACAAATCATCCAGGGACAGTAGAGAATGCTTCATAAGCAATGCTGTTAAATGATAAAGTGATGGAGGAGTAGGCAAATCTGGTTGATCCTTGAAAAGAAAACAAAAATTTTTAAACAGACACAGGCCTTGATTTCATACATCTGGAAGATCCCAGATGATCAGGGATTTTAGTGTTTCCTAATCATCCAAGACGTTTTTTTTCTTTTCTTTTCTTTTTTTACATATAAATGAGCTGGGAAAAATTAGCAACCATAAGTCAACGTTGTGATTGAGTTTTGGTCACCATACATAGCAAGTAAAAAAACATTTGGCAAGTAAAACTGATGTGAGAGTTTCTAAATTTGTGACACCTGTTCAGTGATCAAGTGGCAAGCCATAGGGGCTTAATTAGTTGTGTTGATGATCTTTATGAAATTAATTAAGTGAAATACACATTAGCAAGAAATATAATGAGGTGCCTGTATTAAGCGGGTGTCTGTAAAGCAGGGTTCAACTGTTCTTCAAACCATTCATGTAATGAAGCATTAAGTGTCATATTCTTCTGGTGACATTTTAGAATTTTACGTCACCAAAGGGAGATTTACAATAGTTGGGCTTGGAGCACTTAAGTGCCTTATATTTTGACAAAACCCGGTCCACATACCTTGTAAAACTGGAATTTGAATCCCATTATATGGCAGAGAGCAGTGGATTCACATTTTTCCATGTAGGATTTTAAAAGCGGAAGAAAAAAGTCCTCTAAATCTATGCGGCATTCAAATGAATCAAGAAGTACATCAAGAGTTTTGTTGGGATCCAAGTTAAAACGACCTGTGGATAAAAAAGTATACATTTATTGCGCGAGACCATATTTTGACAATCAACTCTGTTGGTGTTGCTACTAACTATTCATCTCAGAAATGTTCCAGATTGTAAAGAGTGAAGTAAAATGACTGGATGGTAGGGGCTGTGCTCTAGCAGAGCCCAGTGGCCTCTGGCGCCCAACTTTTGCACCTGGGCGACTAGAAAATCTCAGATTTTTCATACAAATCATATGCTGGGCACTCTAGATTTTACAGGTTCAGGGCACTTGGCACCCTTCAATTTTCCTTAGAGCTCAGCCTTGCTAAGTGTCAATTTTAGGGAGGTATCAGTCTAACAGGGGTATCAGTGCACCCTCAAAACCCTGACCAGCATCTTATTTCTCCATAATTTATCAATGCTTTATCCAACATAGAGGTCAATGAGAATACGGGAAATGATCACTACAAAAAGAAAGTCTTGATTGTTGAACAAATTGTTTTCATCAACAAGACAGGAATTGTATGCAGAATAGTATGGAGAAAATGCATCTTTGAAATCATAGCATTTCTTCCCCCTTTCTTTCCTACTGCCTACTTTCAGACTATTCACATCGGGCTGTGGGTGAATAATTAACAATTATTCTTCGAAATCGAGGTAAATATTCCTAAAGTCAATGGAATTCGTCATTCTTACCAATCAAAGATTTAATATTCTCCAGTGCTCTGGCACTGGTAACATGTCGGCTTATCTCCTGACCCAATTCCGTGACCAGTTTAGCATATCCCTCACTCTCCTCTCTCAAAAGATTAAATTTCTGTTGCTTGTAGCTACAGCAAAAGCAAAGTGCAGTTTATTTAGCAGTATTCAAAAGTTAAGTATTCAAAATCCTATCTCAACAAGACAATAACAGCGTAGAGTACTGAGTAGCCTGCATCACTGACTGATAAATCATCTCTCTCATGTATTCACTATACAATTCCTTGTAAATTCTGAAATTTATAAACTGTTGTTAAATCCTTCCCTTATGCATTTAACAGCTCAAATTGTTTGTTATGAATTAAAAGGAGATTTGAGCCCAGTTATGCTTAAGGAAAAATTTCAAGACAATTTGAAAATTTCAAAATTTACTAGTATGGAAAACCATTCAAGCGTGACCGGGAGGCACAAGTTGATCATGTGATCAACTAATGCAAAAGGTCTTTTAACCCTTTAAGTCCCAATGGTGACCAAAATCAATTTTCTCCTAATGATGCCCATACATTGTCATGAGATTAGGTTATGAGAATTAATAAAATGATCACCAAAAAGAAAATGCTTTGATCTTTTGTCAAATTCCCTCAACACATTCAGGAAATGCATAGAGATCAGTCTGGAGAATTTGTATGTGGATATTGGGGCTAAAAGGGTTAATGGCAACTGAGGGTTTCATGAAGCTGAAAAAAATTTAGAAGCAGCCAAACAGACAACAAGACAAATAGCTGAGATTTGTTTTCCTTTCAAATTAAAGTTAAAAAATATCAAGAAAATATACACACAAAAGCTTAGTCTTGGTCCTGACGTATTTCTGATTGAAGGCTTTCTGAGACTGTATTATTCCCAGGGTGTCCAGCGTCTCCACATCCAGGCGTTCCTTGAGAAGAGCTTCTGGAACAACTCCCTTAAAAAAGTGGGATCAAGTTAGATATCTGGGAAACTGCCCAGCTACCCCTCTCCTAAGCCAACATTTTGCCCTAAGTGGGAAGTGGGTCTTAATGTTGGCTTGGGGGAGGGGTAGGTGGACGGTTTCCCAGAAACTTAAACTGATCTGAAAAGTGCATGTAAGTAATGTTACAAACGTGACTTTTTCAAACCTTTGAATAAGGAAATCAGCCAACTCAAGGGTGATAAATCAGTAAAAAGCCATCATATTTATTATGACAGCCTATAGTACTATACACTCAAGTCAGTGGATTTGACCCAAAAGTTTGCAGAAGTTTTCCGTTCTGTTGCTTATTATCATGCTCTACACAGAAAATATGACTTATTACCAATGTGTGATGATTCAAATAAAAGATGGTCAACATTTTGTTTTTGAAACAACACTTAGGAAATTCTTGATATCATTTTACTTTGCTTCTACAAACATCTCTTCTAACAATGAGGTAATTAAACGCCTGGATTCCATGGTTCATATAACAACATAATAATGACAAATATAGAGGTATGTCTTGGCAACAGAAATTCTATACTGATGACATAAATCAATGTTTACACAATCTAGTAATCATGGGGTATTGAATGTAAATTTATCTAATTGATGTTTCTCCTGGTCGATTATGGTAAAGTTTTGTCTTCTTTTGCAAACGAACTCTAGAAAAATTCAAATGCTTTTTCTAAAGAAGAATATATACCACAAATATTGACTGGTTTTTTAGCAGATTCACGGTGTTTACATTTGACCTTTGTAACCATTTGTCTTTTGTCTGTCATTTGTAAACAATACCTAAAACAATATAACTACAGTCTACATCGACCGATCAGAGCTCCTGACCAGATTCCAGACAGATTTTAAGTCATCAGCATGGAATTTCTGTTGCTGAGGCACAGACGTCTCTCTTGGCAAAATATCCTTAGCAGAGAGGAGTGAGGAGAGACCAGCTGTATTAGCAGGCTAGCCTACTCTTGGAGCCAACCATATTTCAAAAATTATGTGACAAAAGAAACAGATACCTACCACTGAAGCTGCCACCAGTGACAAGAACCTCTCTCTGTTTGGCTTGTCCTCCTCACATTGACTTTCGACATCTGTAGGATTATGAAGACACCAAAGGGAACCATAGGGTACATAGAGGGGAGCAGAAACACAGCAAACACAATCACGAAAACACTGCAGTCTGAAGCAGGACTACATAACAATAAAACAAATTTTTAAGTAACAGCAATAATTGGATAGAGCTTGTGTACCCAAGATGCAAATCAGGTCAGCCAGCAATGAAGCGCTTCCTGGATGGAGTTCCTTAAAAAAAAAAGAAAACAGAGGATATGTTTGCATTTAATTTACTTTTTCAAGGCTTTGGGTTTTGGATCAGGCAAATGTTCATATATAGGGTCACTCAGGGCTGCGCTCAAGACTTAAGTTAGCCAACTCCCCATGGCCTGTAGCATTCATTCAAGTCAGCTATTTTTTTTGTTGTTGCTATTACAGTATATTTAATCAACATATCCATTTGTGCTTGTTCCGTCACTTGCCGCTGTTCATAATAAACGTAAATAAGTTGAGTTTATGCGAACAGGAAATTTTTTTTAATCAGCAGGGCCCAGTTGTTCGAAGGCTGATTAGCACTAACTCCAGGTTAAATTCTAATCCAAGGTTATTTTTCTTTTACTCAAAACCATTTCTTCAATAATTATTTTCATTCTCTTCACAGCATCCAATCATCAAATTGTTGTCTAAAAGAATTAATCTGAATTTGCTTTTTAAGCTTTCATAGCTGAATTCAAATTTCGCACTAACCCTGCGTTAGTTTAACCCAGCTTTGAACAACCTGTCCCAGTATGAAAGATATTATTGGGTAACAAATGCCAGATTTCCTTTGAAAAATTACAGTTTTGTATAACTACGCAGTGTAGTTTAACCTCTGGCCTAGTTACCTAAAAAAGTATGTCTCAAGCCCTGTGGTACTAAAATAATGATAATTAGTTTACTTATCAAAATAGCTAGCAGCTTTCCTACCGTGACATCTGACAACAACGGCAGCACATCTTCATGCTTTAGATCGCCTCGAATGACGTGACAAAGTACTTCATAGATCACGCGTTTAAGATCTGTGAAAAAAAAGACAAGGAATGAGGGATCGCCCCAACACGATTCTTTACAAACCCATCAATGACAACCTTATTTACAAACCGTTTTCGCCGCACTGAAAATTCGAATCCGATAATTCTCCACGGACACATGTCTTACACAGCCGATAACTGAAAAAATAACGACACATTTATCAAGACCACACAATAAAGAATGCTTCCATCTAAAATTCAATAAACATACACTTCATCTTTGCCCGATTTTTCCCAGTTCTTTACAGCGTTTTGCGGGACAACCATGGCCGCCATATTTCATCCACATGGTGCGAAGATCCCGGATATTGAAAACCGCTTGAAGCCCTGATCGCAGTTTCACATGAATCAAAAAAGAGACTGGGAACGACAATGGAACATTGAGAAAAGTATGACAGTTCTGAAAATAAGCTTGAAACGTCTACCTATCACATTTTGCAGTCCAAAAATAACCCGCTTTTCATTGCAAAGGTTCCATAGTCAGAAAGCTTTAGGTCTACACAAAGGATCTGATGCAGTTTTTCAGCCTAGCATTGGGATTCTTGCGAGGGCTGACAGGGAGTTTGAATTCTTGGGTCCAAGGACAACCTTACAAGGCTCTGCCAAAAAACTAGATGATGCTCCCAAACTTAAACTACCGGAGGTGAGCTGTTATCTAAGTTATTGCTAAGGTGCTTATTGGGGGCTACTCTGGATTTCAAGCGACGGAGATGTTCGAAGGAGTTTTGAAAATTCCGATATATTGTGTGGAAAATGGCCTGCTTCCCCAACTTCTAATCTTTCAATTTTTCCATTTATAGAAGTTTGAATATTATTTAATAAGGTAGTCAGGTGGATTTTTTTTGTGTACCTTCTTTGTATGAGTTAATTTTTAACTTATGTTAATGCACAGGAGATCTTAACCTATGATGACTGCACAAGATAAATGCATATTGTTATTATTATTATTTATTATTTAAGCATTATTAATTTAATATATTTCATTCACAGGTTGCATTTATTGGAAGGACAAGTGTGGGCAAGTCATCTTTAATTAACGCTCTCCTGAACCAGACAAAGCTTGTGAAAACCTCCAAAAGACCAGTATGTACTAGTTGTATACTAGATGCTCATAGGCTGATTTAGCAACAGGACGGGAACATCATTTGGTGATAAGAAAGTCTGCAGAAAGGACTGAATGCAACTTCCAGTGTTCAGTTTGCCGCTCCGTCATTGGTTAAACCGTATTTTATTATTTGCGCAGCCGTCGTCACTGCTGTCACGTCGTCTTTGCTAAATCTGCCTGATATTTATGTCTCTCAGTTCCTAGTTGTTACACATATATGTTACAGTTCAAAATTAAATTCAGTTTAAATTTTTTTAACCTAGGTTGATTCTTAATTTACTTTGTCTCCCAGCCCTAATTATTCATGAATTAGGACTAGGAGACAACCTAGGTTAAAAAAATTTAAGCTGAATATAATTTTGACCTTTAACATAATATTTGTAGAGAGCTTGATATTGTTCGCCCAGGGATAAATTTTTACGTGGATTTGTTTCCCTTTGTCAAAAACATTTTCATTGTTAATTTTAACGAGCCATTTGAAAGCATCTGAAAATCCAGTTTAAGGTATATTCAAAAAGACAAAATCTGACTTTTCTTGTCAATTATGTTTCCTCGTAAAGTGCATTCCATGGCCCATTTTTTGCCTTGAACATTCTATAAAAGTTGCTCTTATTTTATTTTCAAGGGTCACACTCGTCTGGTGAACTTCTTTAATGTGGATTCCAAGTTTTACCTGGTGGATCTGCCAGGCTACGGCTACGTGGAGGGTTTAGGAAGTGAGCGAGGCACCAATCATTTTGTCAAAGTGGCAGAGAGATACCTTCAACAGAGAGCAGGCAAAGAGTGAGTTTGCTGAATTTATAAAAATTGTTGCAAGCAAGGGAGCATGTTGTTGTGCAGGATTCCAAATATTATTAGGTGCTAACAGCTGGTTAAAAAACTGGCTTCTTCAAATTTTGAGACAACCACTTTGTCGGGATAAAGGGTAAGGTTAGAGGTTAGATTACCTTCAGAATTGGAAGACCAACTTTTATCTGAATTATCCTTTAGCAATTTTCTCCTCAACAAGGGAGTAATACCAACTTTTGAAATCCTAGCTACATGTCTACCTCAAAACCTGATGAGAACCCCAAATAAGGCGAGACCAGGGGAAATGAATAAGCAAGCTGAAAGAAAGAAATGAAAATGGGTGTACATGTTTGGTGAATTTATCACTTAGTATTCACTTCAACTGTTTTGCTCTTATTTTAACCAGGTTAAGAAGCATTTGCCTTCTCATTGATGGAAAAATTGGAGTTACAAAAAATGACCTGATAGCATTTGAAATGATGGGGGAAATAGCTGCTCCTTTCCAGGTTAATGCTCTATGTTCTGCAGCTCAAACACACTTCCATTACACTATAATATAGTGCAATATATAAGTCAGGAATAACATTACTTCAGTATTTCGCGTAAAAGAATCTATATTAACTTAATTTTTCCTCACTCTCACTTAGAGGGCAGGGTGCAATAGAGAATTGCAAATCACTATACCTTGTGAGAAGGGGCTATGGTACTTTTTCTTGGCTTATTGCTAACAATGAAAATGGCACAAACCTTGTATTAATAATTCCTGAAAAGATAGAGGGCTATCTTTTTTTCTTAGAGTAAATGCACATCAAACCTTGAGCCTCTATTCTTTTAAGGCATTTTTGTTCACCCCTTGCCTATGAAATGCGAAGGATGTATTATATGTATGTTGTGGTTCGATTTTACCCTTGCTTTAAATTTTATTTTCCTTTATTTTGGGGCATAGTGGTTTAAAACAAAGGAAAATAAAATTTAAACCCCAGATAAAATTGAACCACAACATATACGTCCTGTGTGAGGTCACTCAACAACCCGGCCAGACATATATACTTAACAATTATTCCTCTCGCCCTCATGGGCTCTGAGCCATGAGGCTGAAGGCCGAATGGGCTATTGACTCAGAGGCCATGAGGGCGAGAGGAATAATTGTTTTAGTAAAATCCAACTAGGTGGTCAAAAATATCGAGAATAAAAAACTTTTAGCTAGTTTAAAGCTAAACTTTAATCCTTTTTTGCTGCCAAAAAGCTGGCACTTTTCGCCACTAGTGGGCCATAACATATAGCCTAGTAGTAGCTCAACCAATCAGAAGGCAGCATTGATAATAGACCACTAGTTGGATTTTACTAAATATATATATCCTCAGACAAATGAAATCACCAAAAGTGCGGTCATTCCAGTTGCCTTGAATAAATGAATTCCTGTCTTTGAGAAATGGCCACCGGTTACTAGGTGTATTTGTCTCTGGTAAGCAAGGGGTTAAAGGGACAAAACATTATTTTTCTTTTACAGGTAGTTCTAACCAAAATGGACAAACTTCACAAAGAAAAGCATCAGATGATGATAGAGGAAGTCTACAAAATTAAAGAAAGATTTTCATTAAATAGCTGCTTTCCGCACATATTTGCCTTAAGGTTTGTATGAGGAGAAGATAAAATACATTTTTGATGTCTATTACAATTTAATTGAAATACAATTCCATTACAACTCCTCATCCCAAGTTCATGTACACAGGTGATTGCTCATCACACCAACTGATCATAACCCTGAAACCTCTCTGTTGCTAAGCAACAGAACAGAGAGAGAGAGAGAGAGAGAGAGAGAGATGGGACAGAAATGGCTTGAAACTTCATGGTCGTACTGAAACCCTAGTTTAAGGTTGACATGGTGTCAAAAAAATTCAATCCCTGTTGGAAGCAGATCACTGCTTTTTAGGCCATAGAGGGAAGAGATAGAAAGGTCTCAATGAATTTGGATTACCAGCCCCTAACCCCTCACACATTATTTTGTTTGGCACTCTCCTTATTACAACTTTCAATTGCATCGCCAGGTTCATTTCAGTTCAGTGAACACGACATCAAATGACCTCTTACGGCAGATGTAGAAAATTACTTCTGGTGTTTTTTTTATTGTGTTCATTTTAAGAATAGCGCTTAACAGGCCATATAATAACTTATTAACCTTGTCCGTTCAGTCATAACAGGAAAATTTTAGACCTTGGCCTTGATGTATTGACCTCACTATTGCTTGGTCAATACATCAAGGCCTAGGTCTGAGATTTCCTGGTATTGACCCCACTCTCAGTTAACAAGTAGTATGTGATTTTTTTATCATTTCAGTGCAAGAGAAAAGACAGGGTTATCTGAGCTGAGATATTTCATCTGCCAGAGTGTAGGATTCACAAAACCATTTAAAAACTTAACATAGTCACATGTGTATAGGTAACAAAGATACCTGATGGAAAGAGAAAAGAGATGGATGAAGATTAAGAGGAAGGAAAGCAAGCAAGTACACTAGGGAAGAATGCTATGTAGACAGTGAACCTTGGTCAAAGGATGTCAAAGAGACCATATCTTCAAGTCTTTGTAGCTTACGAAAGTGTATAATAGGATGCCTTTATGGAACTACAGACAGGGAGATTTGGTTGGAAGACACTAATTATATAATAGAAGTTAAAACAAATCTCTTGGTCTTTGATCAATGAGTTAAATCCGAACGTTATAACAAAGAAAGAAAGACAGCGGGAGTTAAGGAAAGTGGAGAGCTTTTCTCGAAACCTGAAATGCTGAATGACCTGAATGTGATGTTAAATTTGACTAAGAAAGCCTGGTAAATATACAAGAATGACCTTTTTTCTTCAGCCAGTGACCCAGGTGTCACAGAAAAAAGGTCCAGCTTATCCAACAGGAGTCAAATGCTCTAACACTGAGTTACAGGAGCCTAACGGAGTTACAGTGGAACACCGTTAATATGGTCACCAATGGGCCAAAAACATTTGGCTGTATTAACGGGTGTCCGTATTAACTACGGTTTTTTACAAGAAAGTGTCTGGCCATTTTGCCGAGCAGCCAAAAAAAGTGGCCATAATAACAAGGTGACCATATTACCGAGGCGGCTGTAAGGCGATGTTCCACTGTAACAATGACCATTTAACTAGGTTCGGCTTTCAAGCCCTAGCAATAGTACCAATAGTATGCAGGATATTTGTCAACAAGCACCTAGTTTAATGTCCCCTTATATAGCTCTCACAAGTCTCTTCAAGCAGGGATGTAGTTAAAGAAAAGCTAAGCAGGCTTTTTTGTTGGTCAAGCTGGCTTCGTTACTCAACTGTACCTTCAGAATAATATTAGCCCAGGTCTTTGTTTTCCAGAGAAATTTGAGCGATTTGTGAGCTGTTTTTTTAGCCGTTGAAATAAGCCGGCAGCCGGCTCTTAGCGACGTTCCTGCTCCTGTAGCTCAGTGGTAGAGCATCTGGAATTTGATATAGTTTTCTCAAGGCATCTGAGTCACCACCCCGGGTGGTGAAAGGGGTCCAGACCTCGGCAAACGAAATCTTGACGCAGTGTTACCAGGGGTTTGCATTAGCATACAAAATTCGTTCAGCAGCTTAAAAAGAACCTTGCAGTCCTTTACCGCCACTTTACTAAAATTTGTAACAGTGAACAATTAAAGCAGGCATTTATACTTTTAAAATAGCTTCAATTCCTGGATCTCCCTCAGTGGGGTACTGACTGGAAAACTTCATTTCTTTCCCTAAATGCTGTTTATCTGGGGGCAGATGTTGTGAGGAGGGGGGTGCTTAAGGTCGTTTCGCCAGTGAGTCGTTTCGTCCTGCCTGCCTACGTGTTAAGTCGTTTCGCTCACGTGTTAGGACATTCCAAAAAATATTCTTGTCAGAAATGATGAGACTAGCACCTGAAAAACCATTGCTCCGCGTGTTTGTAGTAACCGCTTTGCTGTAGGGAAATTTGGTTCTTATTCAGAGAATGACAAATAGTGTTTAACAAGATGATTGCAAAGCAACTTATAACACGTTTGCAAATAGACAAAAGCGAAACGACCTAACACGTAGGCAAAACGACTCGTTAACGAAACGACCGGTCACCGACGAGGGGAGGGGGGGCCTTGGGTGCCTGAGTACCCCACCCTCCCCCCCTTGTTACCCTGAAGACCCTTCTTTACTTGGTTTTTTCATGTAAACCCCAACCCAACCCACCCCCTACACCCTAAATCAATTTTAGAGCTTGACAAATGAAGGCCAAACCATTTGTTATTTTGAAAAAATAAGTATAAAAAAAAACAAATATTTAGGGGTCAATGACAAGCTTTTTGTGCTGTTTCTTCTGAAACGCCCATAGTGTTTACCTATCTCCTACACATGATTGTGCCGTTTTTAAAACAAACGATGAAAGACCAGTTATTTGCGACGGCATTTTATAAAAAGATAATTTAATCATCATTCTTCGCAATTATTCGAATTATTCTGAACAAATTTCAACAATTCACTCATTTTGCAAGAGAAAATCCCTCATTTTCTAATAAAAATGTAAAACGTACAAAAGCATGCGAGATACAAAGTAATGAAACTGAAAGAATAGCGTGTCATAAAAACGGTTGAGTACTCTCTAACGGCCAGTCACGATGGCATCTTGATTATCACCTGACAACGTAAAATTACCCTTGCTTTCGACGTGTTTGTACTGTACATGGTTGGTTAATAGGTGAACGATTCAATACCTAATGTAAACTTCTTCCGAATGAAACTGGAAAAACGCTTTAATTTCGTTAAAAGCATTGAAAAACGTACAAAATAAAACTGTTTGGTAAAGCGATATCGTGTTTGAGTCCTGGAGTAATGACGTCACAAAACTACATTAGTAAAATTATTAAATTGGTTGGAATTTCAGAGAAAACAATAAGATCAAGAAAAACGTCTACTCGTTCATATCTGAAGCGCACCCCAACATAGTGGAAAATTGCAGTAGTTAGTCTTCCAAAAGAAGCTTACGAACGCTTTTAAGCTGAATCTTAACCTTGTTCATATTTGAAGGCATAACAAAAAAGTGTTTGTATATAAAACACTTCTAACTAAAACGTTATATACACCTCGTTCTCGATAATCTAGGTAATGTTCTGTAAGTGTCAATAAATAACTGGTCCACTCTTAAAAAATAATGTCCTATATTTCAATTTCAACAATTTAAACATATTCTTCGTCTTTTCTTCTCCGAGGACTTGAAGAATCTTTCAATTGCGCGATGTCTTTGTAAACTCCTCTAAGGTTGTGATAACGAAGTCCCCAGTTTAACACATCGTCCCAGTTAAACAAATCTTTTGACCCGTTTGCGGGTTTACTGTTCAAAGTGTGAGGTAAGATTTCCTCGTCGCTGAAGTGCAAGGTGCTAAGCGAGCCTCTGTGAGATGTTCGTCCACCGTTTTCAACTGTTGCTTTGCCGTGTTTGTCATTACCTATTATGTCTTCATCGGCAAGTTTTGAAAACACCATATTTCCACGTTCGTAATCCTCTCGGCTCGGTTCGTCATTGTCGTATTCGAATTCACTGCACGTAAACGTATCGTCCGAGCTCTCACTTGAAGTGTCCGGAACTTCGAGAACACTCGACAACTTATCGATCGTTGGAGCATCTTCGTCGCTAATGGAAGACACCGCATCAAGTAAACTACCCGATGGCGGTTGTTTACGGAGTCTCTCGATCTCTGCCGCGGACAAGCCCGGGGGCTCCCGACGATTCAACGATTGGTCTCTGAAAGTATTCGGATCGTATTGATAAGAAACTTCACTATATCCGAGGCTCGCAACCTCAATGTCGTAGTGCTCCAGTCGTTCAGAGTTGTTATCATCAGACTTGTGACCGACATCAGAGAAATCCGGAGGTTCGTCGCTGCTCGAAGATCCCAGTGAGCCTTTCCGGAAACGCCGCGAGGGCTTTGAGTTTGTTGGACCGCGCAATCTAGGGTCCAAAACGCTTCTGGACAGCGGTTGCCTCTTATCCATGCCATGCCTAAAGTGGGATTGGGGATTTTTCTCTCGCGGTTCTTTGATCTGCTATTGGGCAATGGCCGGCCAACTTCCCTGTCTCGTGGTGTGCTCCGATGATTGGGAGCCCGTGATATCCCCGATATATCCGCCCTGTTGATGGGTGTTTCCTTCATTCCCAAAACCATTCCATTCCTCATAATAAACTCTCCGTCGGACTCGGAGAAACCCGGGTCGATTTTCTCTTGAGAAGATTTCGTAAGCTTGATTTGATAATCCTCCGGCGCACCAACATTATGTATGACTATATCCTTTCCGTTCGGAAGCGCAGACTGTCGTAAATCTGTTAAGGACTTCTGGCTGGGATTACGGATCACAACGCCACTATCGTCACTGCTGTGAGACGGGGACGTTCTTTGGGAAGCCTCTTGCACGTCCGCCGCTACCTCCGTACCTGCGGTCGCGTCAAACTCCGCCGGCGCCCTACTGACTGCTTTCTGTCGCTGTCTGCGATAACGACGAGCAACTATCACCGCCACGACGATCAAAATGACCAAAACGACTAGAAAAACGATGGCTGCGATTACTCCAGGACTCAGGGAGCTTCCCGTATCTTCCGTTCGTTCGCTCGCCACAAAACACTCAAACTCCCCTGAATCGCCAACGCGGCATAACTTATCGCCGCATGGATGAGGCCAGCATACTCCAGGTATAGCACATGTTTCTCCTTTGAAGTCTCCCTTGCATTCACAGTTAAAACTTCCATCCTTCTGCGGTAAACAAACTCCGTTGTTTTCACACGGGTTCGATTTGCACTGAGCATCGCTGATACAAGTGTAACCCTCCCACTCTTCAAAGCAATAAGGCTTGAGCGGATCTTGGCACTGAACTGTCGCGCACGATCCTGATCCGTCACATCCCTCTTCGACCGCCCCACCTGGTGAAGAAATCACTGCAAACTTGTTCGGCCCAGAGAAGGAAACATGAAGGCCATCGATGCTCAAATCTTCCATACAACCGCGAAATTTTTTCAGGGTCAGGGCCGTTAAAGAGGAATTATATCCGCCCAAAAACCAGCTTTGGATGTTCTTTCCAAGGAAGTCATGCGCAGCAGCATCAAACATGTTGGTGCGGGACTCGCCGTCGACCTTGACAGTCACGTTTTTACCTTGGTGAAAAATAGTAACGTTGTGCCACTCACCGTCCGTCACAACGGGAGACCCAACAGTAAAACTGGACGCGTTACCTCCATTTCCAAAGGTGTACTTGAGGTTACCTGACTTTATCTGATAAAGAAGGCAAAAAAATGGTTAAAAGAATAATTGTCGTGAAAAACGAAATAAAAATCAAAACAAGTAGAGAAATGAAAAAACCCCAACCAAACGCCGAGAAAAAACGTGTAACGCAAGTCAGCAACAGATTCAACCTACTTTAGGGTTTATTTCCAGTGTCGCGTAATTTTCACGTGCGTGCGTGCGTAAAATTTACTTTCGCAAATAAAATAGAGGGAATGCATGAAAGGTAGCTCGTAGGCATAAAAGTTGAACCTCGCTCAACTTCTCGTTTAAGCTCAGCACTCTTTATTTTGCCTCTACTTTATGTGATTAAAATTTGTGTGCTTTAACGTACGTAGCCACAAACGCGTCTGTGGAAATCAACCTTTAAATTAAGCGCGGGAAATATGAAAAAGTTCACTGCAGGGGGAAGCGCAACGGATGCGAAGCGCGGGAAAATATGGAATAGGAGCACACCAAAAATAAGGGCAGGGAAACTTGCAACTTGTGCGAAGAAGAAACGCGTGTAAACCAAGCAAGTCACGAAGGAGGTTATGTCTTTGTTTCTACAGTAAATAATTTTCAAGATTGATTGCAAAAATGAAGCGTGTTTTCTCACCGTAACTTAAACAAAGCTAAGGTAGGTGCGATTTAGTTCTGACACAACGAAAACCCCTTTTAACGAACTTGGACCATTTTTAAACAAAACCAGTTATAGAAAGTTTATGATTTGTCAGTTCGGAAAAGAGAAGGGAGCTGGAGCCGAAATGTGTCCCGGAATTGTTTCTGGGATAGTTACTGACAAAGCGCGCGCGGGTCAGCTTAAGTAAAAACCCGGGGGTCAGCCAAAGTACATAAGAACCTGTTTTAGCCTACAATTTTTAAACAGGTTCTTATTTTGAGAAATTCTGTCGAACACTGAATACACAAATTTAACAGAACAAGCTCCACCAGTTAGTAAAATAAAGATGAAACACAGTATCATGTTTTAATGTTGTTTTTGTTCTGTTTAACTTGCATAGCTTTCTATAAACTTCATAAATGGCTTTAATATGCTTGGACAAAAGGGGGTTTTTTTAACATATTATGCATGCAATACCAAAAATGGGCCCAAAATAGGCCACACCCACTAATGACAAACACCTCATTTATTCTTAAAAATAAGAACCTTTTAAAGAACCTGAGTAGCCTAATTTTCCAGTAAGCACCATTTTTAAAAGAACCTTCTTAGCCTAGCATGGAAAAACTTAGGTTCTTATTCGCGGTTTTTTACTGTATTGGCCAATTATTTCCCTGTCCCTAGTACCAGAAGTCTTTGCGAAAGTTGACTCTGCTCAATTTCTTTCTCGTTTGAAAAGCGGCGAATTGATGTCGAAAAAAAAATAACGTTTTGAGACTAACCTCCACCACAGTGTACCCTGATACACTGGTAACAACTGAGTCTGTAGCGAGGAGAAGCAGCCCGTCGTTTCGAGTACGAAATCGAATGGAAAACTGTTCACCACTTGCAGGCAGGGCTCGTCTTTTCCGAACTGCGTCGCCTTCTCTGTCTTCACGCTGCTGCTCGCGGCGATAGCTTTCCTTAAACTGTAATGCCAGAAAGCTGTTCTCGCCGAATTTCACTGGTTGTACTTCTACAGGGTGAGAGATGCAAGAAACCTCTAAATAAATTTATTTGCCACCCTCACAGAACCTTTTTTCACTAATTTAAAACCAATTTTCATGTTTCATTTTGGCATGTATAGGTTCCAGAAATCAAAAGTAGCTTACGAAAACAAGAGGTTAGCTAATACGAGATGTAATCAAGTACGGCACACGCGACTCCACGCGCACAGGAGTAAGATTTGCGTGCTCCATTACTTATGAAGGCGCCCTGTGTGAAAGGTGTTCTGCTATGCTGGATCTGTAATTTGTCAAAGTTTTACGGGTAGCAATAGTGCACTTTAGACTTGATGAGTTTTCAGTTCTTTGTGAAAGTTAACTCGCCCTTAGAGCGATTTAAACTGAACAATACCACTTTCTTAATGGAAGGGGGAAAGGATATGTGTTGAAACCCAAAGCTTACCTTCTTCACAATTCCTGCCGCTATAACCTGTCTTGCACTCACAAACATAATCAAACCAGTAATCCACACATTTCCCGCCATTTTTGCACAGACCATCAGAACACTGGCCACGTCGAGGACAGCGGTCAGAAATGCCAGCAGAATCTTTGGCTAAACTTGGATCCAGTTTCCTGTCATTGATGAACACATTGCGCATGCAGCCAAGAAAATCATCAGCTTGAATGTGTTGTCCCGGATGAGCAAGTGCACTGTCCAGATCTCTGACCCCACCTAAAAAAAGCGGTGCCCCAAGCAAGTCCAGTTTCCTGTATAAAATCAAAGGGTGCGTCAGCGATTGGGTTTCTGGTCCCAAATGTGTTTAAACCTGGGATGCGAAAAGCAGGATTTTCTTCTTTCGTACTACAGTAATCGACTGCTGGATTTCAAGTTCGATGACAAGTTGTGTTAGCGGGAAATCCTGCATGCTTTAAATCATGAAACTTTATAGTGTCAAGCAGTGCAAGAAAACAACCATTCCCAGAATGCCAGCCGTTCAGGGAAATAGAAGAGGGGGAGGGTTACATTTTCACAAAGCTTCAACTGGAGGAGTAGAGAAGGGGAAGGGAGGGGGGAGGGGAGGGGAAGGGAAGAGCAGACGGGTGACAGATAAGGAAAGGTGTTTTTTTTAGGTGACTACTTACTGTAACAGTCCTGGAGATGAGACGCTCACTGGAGCGGAAAAATCAACGGAAACCTCACCAACCTATCCAAAATTTTATAAACATTATTAGTCATTAGCCAAGGGATTCACCTCAACTTCAGCTTCATTTTTACACTGTTAACAGGGCATTACTTAGTATTAACAATTATTCTAAAATGCATTCCCAAGCATGTATCATATAGAGACGTTAAAGAAAAGACCATCTTTGGAGGAGGAACAGCTTTCGAGTTGCCAACATTCACGTTAGCTGTAGAATTACAGTGCAACATTTCTAAATATGGTAAGCTAAAGGAACATTAAGTTGAAGTTACTGAAACATATATATTTTGGCCCTTAACATACTTTCACGGCCATATTGGGCTAGTGTCAGCGGTTTTCTTCAATGGGATACTTGCCAAAAGGGCATTTCTCCCCGAGAAAATGTTTCATCTGCCTTTCGCGTAAGGACGATCTAGATAGAAGTGTAAGCTCCTAGCATCCGCTGCCCAAACAGACGTGGCGCGGAAGTGATTTCAAAGAAGCGTTGCAGCACACAGAGACATTCAACTACTAATGTTGTTTGAACTACAACCAACTTTTCCTTACAACTGAAACCTCGTTACACTAAAAAAAAAATAAAGAATCTGAACTCACCTTCCTATTTCTAATGGCCATAACCGTATGCCATTTTCCATCAGCTACAAAGTTTTCTGCCTCCACAACAACAGGACTCCTTGTATCTCCAAGATTGAACGACAGTCGAAGCTTTCCACTGACGATCTGTATGGCAATAAAATCCGAATCCACCTTGTTCTGTCCGTCATGGTTGTACAGCAACAAGCTGTCGCTCTGAGACGAAGCAAACTCGAAAGTGATGTTGTTGAAGTTATCTTGCTGCAGACTTTCCAAAGTAGGAAGCTGAAGGTAGGAAGCAGATTCAAAGCCAATACAGGAACACTGACACAGCTGTCCTTGGGAGCAGGTACACCTGGGTGTGGCCCAGGAGGTGACAGAGGCCACCCGGCAAAAGTCGTATCCAGACGAGCAATTCTTACCCAAATATCCCGGCTTGCAATCACACTGGTAACTCCCTACAAGATTCTTACAGGTTCCGCCATTCTCGCAGGGATTCGGGTCACACTCGTTGACATCATCAGAACAGGTATGACCGGTAAAACCTGATGGACACTGGCATGAAAACGAGGAGTCTTTGTCCAAACACGTGGCACCGTTCTTGCATGGATTAAGGTTGCAGCCTTGCTCGCTTACTGCGCATGTCTTGCCGCCAAAACCTGGTTTGCAAACGCAGCTAAAACGCCATTCGTAATCCACTGACAGAAAGATAACAGGTGTGGACTCCAGGGTAGTAACAGTGCCAAGGTTGTGCATATAGCTTGTGCACTCGCCTCCATTTTGACAAGGACTGCTGGCGGTACAAGGAGTGTAATCCACATTTTGAATACTAACATCACCATTTCGTTCCAAATCAGCTTTGTTGTTTCTCAGCGCGGTAGACAGTTCCTCTCGCCTCATATATTCAAACGCTGGAGGTTTTTTGGCCGCTACTGTTAAGTCTACAAGGCCAACTCCCACGGATTTGATGCTAAAGAGCTGTGATTTGTATCCAAGCGGCGAGACAATGACGTCTATAGCGTTCAAGAATTTCTGATATGACTGTGAAAGAAATCCCTCGGGGCTTGTATTCTGTACTCGCACTGTTAAGCTATTAGCGAAAGTTTGTAGGTTAAAGGCCACAAATCGGACCTGTACATCGTAAGACACGGCCCACTTTCCATCAGAACCGTTCACTTTTAAATCCATAACCACGCTTCCCGTTTGTTTGTTTTTTGTCCTCAGTACACAGCTTCCAGGAGCAAACCCGAACAGTCCATTGCTATCCTGCAGTATCTCGCACACAAACACGTCATTAACATCGGGATCTTCAGGCTGCACTTTTGCTAAGTCCCCGGATGGCAAGCTGTTGTTGATGTTCACGTGCACGATTCGTGCAGTTTGCCGGGGTGGATTATCATTGACATCCTGTACTTGAATTTCGCAGTATGACACGGCAGATTGCTGTGGGGAGCCACCGTCGGATATTCTTATGGACAGATTGTAAGAGGCGGTGACCTCGCGATCAAGTTCAACGGTAGTCGTTATCACCCCAGTTCTCCCGTCCAAATGGAACTCATTGTTGGGGGTCCCATCGATGACAAAAGTAAACGGCCCTTGATTGGGATCCACGTCAGGGTCATAAGGCGTCAGTGTAATAACCCGAGTACCCGCGGGCTCCTTCTCACGTACCCTGCCTATGCAGTTACCAGGAAGGCGTGGCGCGTTATCGTTGATATCGTCAATTCTAACCACGACAGTGGCGTTGCCAGACATAGGTGGCCGTCCTTGGTCCGTAGCGGTAACTGTTAGACTGTACTGTGAAACCGACTCCCTGTCCAGACTCTTAAGAGTTGTTATTGTACCCGAGTCTGGATCAATTATGAATGCATTTTCAATGTTACCTGACAAAATTCCATACCGTATCCTCGCTTCTGCCGGGGATTTTGCAAAGTCATCATCAACGGCGCTAACATTGGTCACAAACGACCCCGAAATAGCACCTTCCGTGACTCTCGCGTTGTACACACTCTGAAGGAACCGAGGGGCATCATTAGCATCCGTGACTGTCACGATTATCTTTGCTAGGTCACTAGTATCAGGAGTCACTCTTGTCTGTAACGCGTTCTTAGCGAGAACCTGGAGCGTTACCAAACCCGCTCGCTCGTTGTCCAGTTTTCCAGAGACGCTTAGCACACCTGACAGTCGATTTAACTTGAATCCCTGGAAGTTACTTTCGCCCACTAGTACAAAAATAACTTCACCGTCCGGACCCTTGTCTTGATCTGTTGCGTATATCTGAGTAACAGACTGTCCAATCGGTGCGTTTTCGGCCACAGAGGCTTGGAACAGCGACTTGTTAAACCTGGGCGGATATTCATTCACACTGGTAACGTGAACCAACACTTTGGCGCTAGGCTGGGATTCTAACTGAGGATTCCCTTGGTCTCTGGCGGTGACAGTCAATGCATACATATCCTCAACTTCATAGTCAAACGTTGCCCTACTTATGATTTTTCCACTGGACCGATTTATTTCAAATAAGCCCGCCGAGTCGCCACTTGTGATGCTGTACTCCACGGTCCCTCCAAGACCTTGATCGGGGTCTAAAGCTGTTACAGAAACAACAGGGGCTCCCGGGGAGGTATTCTCCGGTACATATCCGTGGTATTCTTTCTGTGTAAAGGTCGGTCGGTTATCGTTCGCATCAAGGAGGGTGATACGCACTTCCACGGAATCTGAACGCGGAATTTTTCCAGCATCTGTGCCGACAACGTTCAATATTAACAGCCGAGTAAGCTCGTAATCCAGAGACTTTTGTACATATATAGAGCCATTCCTTTCTCCAATTCCAAAATAGCCGGGTGGATTAGCACTCTCTATACGATACGATACTTGGCCATTTGTCCCGGAATCTTTATCTGTAGCGGTAACCCTTAAAACTTCACTCCCCACGGGCAAGCTTTCCAGCTTACTGGCTTGATACTGAGGAGGAAAATCAGGTGAATGGTTGTTCCGTGCAACAACTTCAACGTAAACATCGGCCTCGCTTTCCTTGGAGGGATCTCCCGAATCTTCTGCCTTAATCCGCAAGAAAAACACACCTGGAGTAGCAATATTTCCTGCTACTGTCACATTTCCACTGTCTGAATCAAGGCTGAACAGTGCGGAGCCATTGCCACTGATTATTTCATAGCGCACACGCGCGTTTACACCTTCGTCTTCCTCATCTGTTGCCTCTACACGCCCAATTGTCTCTCCATTTCTTGTATTCACGATGACGAAAAAGCTGTACAAAGCTGGCGTGAACACTGGGCTGTGATCGTTGGCATCAGTCACTTCCACAACTACATGAACCGTCGCTTCAAAAAATGGCGAGTATGGATTTCTTGCATTCACTGTGATATTGTACAAATTCTCGTTTCCAAGAGGGCTTGGTTTCTTATATAGCAACTCTTTACTGAGGCGGAGAACACCCGTTTGGCGATCAACAGTGAAAACATCGCTAGCAAGAGAAGGCAGAATGGAATAGAGGATCACCGCGTTCGTTCCTATGTCGTCATCACGGGCAGTTACATTCATCGCTTCTGATCCAATCGGTAATTTCTCCTTGATTGTCTGTGATAGCGAGTCTGAGACGAATCTCGGTGGGTTGTCGTTAACATCCAAGACTATGACAGTGAAATTGGACGTAACTGTATGAAGGGAATCTCCTACTGTTACTTGCAAAACGTACTGAGATCTGTACTCTCTGTTCAGGTTGTTCTGTACTGTCAAACTACCGTTATTCGCGTCAAGATTAAACACACCATCTGGATTGCCCCCAGGAGCGAAACTAAACCGCAGCTGTGCGTTACTCTGAGTGTCAGCATCGGTGGCACTCAGCACCGCGACTCTAAATCCAGTAGAGACGTTCTCATAAACAGAAGCTGTCATAGGATCTATGAAAACAGGCGCGTTGTCGTTGATATCCTGTACGGTTACAATAACAAAGGCTTCGTCTGCCAGGGATCTGTTCGCCACGTTCTCAGCGCGGACCTTAAACGTAAACAAAGAAGTGTTCTCTCGATCGAGTTTGACGCTGGTGGATATACGCCCTGCTTTAGGGGACACTTGGAACGCTGCACTTGCCAGACTGTTGCCTGGAGCTATTTTGTACTCCACCACTGCGTTAGGTCCTGAATCAGCGTCAGACGCATACACCCAGAGAACTGTGGTATTTTCTGGGAGTTCCTCTTGAATTTGTACTCGATAAACGCTTTGATTAAACTGAGGCGGGTTGTCATTCTCATCAGTAACTAGAACACGGATTGTCACGAAGCTTGACAACGACTGTATACCTGCACCCCTCGCGCCTACTATAACAGCGTAGCTCTTTTGCTGCTCGAAGTCCAAAGGTTTCTGAATTCTTAACTCTCCATCCAGTTTGTCAATATCGAACACATTACCGGTGTTGCCCGCAGCGATGAAATAGGAAATATGCCCGGTAGCATTTACATTAAAGATTTCTGTCCCTACAGGTACCAGCTCAGAGACCGTTGTGTTTTGGTCCAGATGTTGAAAGACTGGAGAGGAACCTGTTAGCACATTTATTTGGACATTGGTGGTATCGGCGCGAGACGGTGCGTTCACGTTAGCAGCCTTTACTGTAAAGGAGTACGAAGAGGGGCTTGAGGGAACGTTCTGTGCCACGGTGATGATACCTGTCTGAGGGGAAATTTGAAAGACAGGTGGTAACGTGGTTGTTACAGTGTACTCACATTCGGCGTTGGGGCCAATATCATTATCCGCGGCAGAGACCATGATAATGAAGGTCCCTGGTGCAGCCCCAGGGGACACCGTTCCAATGTACAGATCAGATGAAAAAGCAGGATCAAAATCGTTGACATCTTCCACATTTACGAGCAAAGTAGCTTTCCCTGTCTGTGGAGGGATCCCTCCATCGGTGGCCAACACGCTCAACTCGAACGAAGACGTAGTTTCACGATCAAGAAAAGCAGTGGTTTTCACTTGTCCAGTGTTTGCATCAATTGCAAACGATCCAAAAGACACCGACAACCTGTAGGTGATTTTACTATTAGCCCCAGTATCAGCATCGGTGGCAGTTATTTGCAGAACTGGCGTGTCCACCCCCGAGTTTTCTTTCACTGAAGCCTTGAAGAAGTCTGGTTGAAAGACAGGGGGGTTGTCATTCCGATCCTTCACATCCACAATGACCACGGCCTCGCCCACAAGGGGCGGCGTCCCTCCATCCTTTGCCTGCACCTTCAGGATGTGTTTGGCCTGCTTTTCTCTATCCAAAGCTATTGTCAGTCCTATCTGACCAGTCTGGGGGTTGATGGTGAAAAAAACCCCATCGTTGCCTCGGATAATTTCGTATGTTAACGCTCCATTCTGGCCTTCATCATTGTCCACGGCTTTCACTGTAACAACATTGGCTATCAAGTCATTTTCAAAGACACTTGGAGTATAAGTACCCTTAGTGAATGTAGGGGTATTGTCATTTACGTCGCGTAGTAAAATGCTCAAGCTCTTGTCAGTAAACTGCGGTGGTATGCCTAAATCTGACGCGCGGATGGCAAGGATGTAACTGGGCGTGTTTTCACGGTCCAAAGATGTTATTGTGCTGAGAACTCCAGTTGATGAATCTATCTCGAAGCTACCATTCTCGTTACCAGCAGCAATGCTATAGCGAATCTCTGCATTGCTGCCCTGGTCGCTGTCAGTGGCTACAAACCTTGCAACTTCACTTCCGATTGAAATGTTCTCGAAAACAGGAACTTGGCTTACTCCTGACTGGAAAACTGGGGCGTGGTCATTATAATCATCGACTACGATTGTCAGCTTTTTCTCTGTACGCTTTGCTGGGACACCTTGGTCAATAGCAATCACTCTAACAACATAACTGTCTCTCACCTCACGATCCAGACTCCCTGATACCCGGAGTACACCATCGGCTGCACCTAAACTAAAAGGGGCAAACGCATCGAGTTTGACCAAACCAAAGGTTACCTTTCCGTTACTTCCTGCATCTGCATCAGCCACCATGATCGTGGTGATGACATCACCTCCTGCAGCATGCTCTGACACGTGGGTGACATTGCCGGAGATGAAATAAGGACTGTTGTCATTGATATCTGTGATTGTCACCTGGACTGCTGCTGTGCTAGACAACTGTGCTGCCACAGGCTTTGCATGATCTCTTGCTAAGACGGTAAGTTGGTAAGAACTCGTCCGCTCTCGGTCGAAGGTCCTCAGGTTGTATATAGTACCGTTTGGGTAGATACCAAAGGTGCGGTCATTGTTTCCAGCCAATATAGTGTATGTGACAGCCCCATTGGTGCCAAAGTCTTTATCAGTGGCTGAGACAGTTATGATGCTACTGTCTTTTGCAGCAGCTTCTGAGATGCTTACATGGTACATGCTCTTTGAAAACTCTGGAGCATTATCATTTCTGTCCAAAACATTAACATAAACCTCGGCATTGGTAGACTTACGAGGATTACCATGGTCAGTCGCAGACACACTAAGAATGTAAATTTCGACTGTCTCTCTGTCAAGTGTTCCTGCCACTTTCAAATGCCCACTGAACGGGTCCATCAAGAAGACGTCTCTGTGATTACCAACAATGCTATAGCTAATTCTGGCATTCTCTCCAATATCGCTGTCTGTTGCCCTCACTGTCCCCACAATAGCTCCAACAGCTGTCCCTTCAAAGATATTAAAATCATAGAATAGGCGATCAAACTGTGGTGCATTATCATTAGCATCTTTCACTGTTACCATGACAACACAGCTTGAATGTCGGGCTGGATTGCCACCATCAGTTGCAAAAACAGTTAAGTTGTACTCTTCTTGGACAGTGCGATTCAGCACTTGCTGGGTAGTGATTTCACCAGTCGCGATGTTGATTTGGAAAGAACCAGCACTGATGATAGAATAGCGCACTTGTGCATTGAGACCTTGATCCTTGTCGACAGCAGAAACAGTCGTAACACTTGCACCACGTGGTAGCTGTTCCATCACAGTTGCAATGTAGGTAGACTGCATAAAAATTGGACTGTTGTCATTCTTATCTTCAACAATGATTTCCACAGTTGTGCTGCTTGTTCGTGCACTGGGGCCACTGAGATCAACTGCATACACTGTTAATGTAAACACACTCGTCAAGACACTATCACGGTCAAGTTCAACAGCAGTTGTGATGTTACCACTATTTTCATTCACGGCAAATGAACCATTACTAGAATCTGCGGTCATGTAATACTTGATAACTGCACCAGGTATGCTTGGAGAAAATGCTGCCTGAACTAGAGTCACAGATGTCCCAGTTCTGCTATTCTCCTCAACAGAGCCTCTGTATAATGCTTGATTGAAGGTCGGTCCACTGTTTGGTTGCCCTTTTTTGAAGAGTGTCAGAGAAGTCTCAGAGACTTGTGAAGGCACACCATTGTCATGAGCCGACACTCTTAGCTGATAACTCAGACGATTACTGGGTAACTGTGATCGCGCGACTAACTGTCCTGTGTTGGCATCCAACTGGAAAAAGCTTGTATCTCCACTAACAATATTGTAGGTTACCTTTGCATTATTTCCAGTATCAGTGTCTGTTGCCAAAATAGTCATGACAACAGTATTTGGACCTTCATTGCCATTAATTCCTACAGCAGGTGCTGTCGCAAATCTAGGTTTGTTGTCATTCACATCTTGTAGCAAAACAATGACCTCTTTAGTAGCAGACAGCTGAGCTGATCCAGGGCTCGCACTATCCACTGCTCGAATAACAATTTTGTATTGGGGGGTGGTTTCACGATCTAGGATTCGTCTTGTGGTAATGGCACATGTAACAGGGTTCACCTCAAAAGCCATTTCCTCAGGTGGAGTCTGACTAAGGATGCCATATGTTACACGGCCATTTTCCCCACTGTCAACGTCAGTTGCAGAACAATGACCAATCAAAGAACCTGATGTCACATTTTCCAGCATTCTGATGACAGAAGGTTGATCTTTAAACACTGGAGGATTGTCATTTTCATCAATCACATTGATGCTAAGCAAAGACACTGTAGACTTTGGGGGATTCCCTCGGTCATCTCCTGTGATATTTAATGTATACTTCTGTGTTCTTTCATAATTAAGTGGCTTACTAAGGAAGACTTCTCCTGTTAAGTGATTGATGTCAAATACGGCTTCCAAATTTCCAGATGTGATGGTGTACGCAATCTCAGAATTCTCACCAGCATCCTTATCTGTTGCGTGAACCATTGCCACTAGGTGAGATACTGCCAAATTTTCAGACACGTTAACAGTTAAGTGCTTCTCAGTGAACTCAGGTTCATTGTCGTTGGCGTCACCCACAATAATTTCTAAATGCACTTGGGAGAACATGGTTCTATTGTTAGTATCCATGGCTTGGACAGTAAGTGTATAATGATCCACTTTTTCCCTGTCAAGTGAATGGTTGAGAAAAAGATTTCCATGCACAGGATCAATCGAAAATACTTCAGAATTTGGCCCACTCATTATTGAGAAAGTAAAGTTAGCATTGACTCCTTCATCAGGGTCGCTTGCCAGGACTTTATAAACAATTGAACCTACTGGAGTTGATTCTTCAACTGTGACAAACAAAACAGAATGACGGAACTCAGGTATATTGTCATTTTGGTCTTCTACAGTAACAACCACTACTGCAGTGTCTTGTTTGGGAGGTGAGTCACCGTATGTTGCCTTTGCAAGAAACACCAAGACATTCTTTCCACTTTGTTCAACTAATTGTTCTCGATCAAATGTTCTTACTGTTGTGATAATACCTGTCACAGGATTGATAACAAAATTGCCATGATGGTCAGGCAGAGAATAAATCATCTTCTTAGACTTTAAAGAAGCATCATCTCGAAGAGGCAGTCTGCCAATCATAGTTCCTGGGAGCTGGTTTTCCACAACAGAAAATGAAGCAGTATCATTACTTAAAATAGGCTGATACTCAATTGAATCTCTTATGTTAACCGTCACAGATACAGAACTCATAAGAGGCGGGCTTCCTTTGTCAGTAGCTGTGAGTGAGAGGGTATACAATGACCTTGCCTGATTAAGTTGATTCTTAACAAATAATATTCCATCAGGGGAAACTGCAAACAGATCCAGTTCATTGCCTATCGGAGAAATTGCATAAGTCAGCTTTCCATTGTCACCTTCATCTGGATCAGCGGCAATCACAGGCAGGAAAACCTTCCCTACAGGCAAATTCCTCGGCACACTTGCATTAAAAGATGGTAATAAAAATCTCGGCTGGTGATTGGTCACTATTACCACAGTTAACATAAAGGTACTGCGTAATGGAGGTGCTCCTTGGTCTGATGCAGACACTCGAATGAGGTATTGAGGATCATCTAGATTGTTAACCTTCCTTGACAAGGACACCATACCTGATGTTGTGTTCACCTTTAGGAGGCCATTGCCGTCAAATGTCAATTTATAACGAACAGCTCCGTTTAGACCTGCGTCTTTATCTGTGGCACTTGCTAGATATATTTCTCTTCCAACAGGCCAGGATGCATCAATAGTAACTTGAGCACTTGAAGGGGAAAACAATGGCAGATTGTCATTTCTGTCCAGAACATCTATCTTTACAGAAGTTGTTGCTGACAAAGGATGCACAATTCCGGCCTTGGCTACAACATGCAATAAGTATTTATCCCTCCTTTCTCTGTCTACATGTCCATCAAGCATGATTATTCCACCAGTAGAATCAACCTCGAAGACATGTTGAGGATCCCCTGACACAATGGAGTAAAGAATGTTATCACTGTTGTCTTTTGCGGCAGCGATGACCTTGCCAACATAGGTCCCTGATGGTTCATTTTCATAAACAGTGAAGTTATAAAGACTGTACTCAAACTCTGGCAAGTCATCTGACTGACCCTGAACTGTCACCTCCACAGTGGCAGCGCGTTGAGCATAAAGACCTCCTAGATCATTAGCAGTGACATTAAGCTGGTAAAAGCCTTTCTCACTACTGTTAAGAGGCATCAGTGTACTTATTTCGCCACTTGAGCTGTTCATGGCAAATTTGCTTTCAGCCCCACTTGTAATTCGATAGAAAATTTGTCCATTAGTACCATCATCAGGATCAGTTGCTGTCACCCGAGTAATAACCCTGGGCTGAGCATTTGTTAAGATGCTCACAATATAAGTCACAGGATAAAATACTGGATGATTATCATTAACATCTGTAACCTGCAATCGCACTAAGGTTCTTGATGATAGCGGTGAGAGACCCTGATCAGAGGCAATAATGGGGATATCATACATGCTCTTCACTTCGCGATCAAGTTTAATCTTTGTTGTTAACAATCCTGAACTTGTTCCGATGGTAAAAGTATCCAAAGCAATCTGAGAAGTAGAATCAATCCTATAAGTCAAATTCCCATTACTTCCAACGTCGTCATCTGTGGCATTTAAGGTAATAACAGGTGTCCCTGGATTCATGTTTTCAGCCAGTGTGACATTATAAATACTGTGAGAAAATTCAGGTGCATTGTCATTGATATCGTCGATGGATACCATAACAACAGTGGTGCCATTAAGTGGAGGCGAACCATGGTCTTTAGCAAGCACAGTCAATGATACTTGTGGTAAATGCTCTCTGTCAAGAGACATAGCAGTAGTAATAAGGCCTGATACAGAGTTTATCTGAAACCAGTGCAATGCATTGCCACTTAGGATTGAATATGAAATCTTGCCATTACTTCCCATGTCTAAGTCAGTAGCCGTCAAGCGATAGACAGAACTACCATTCTGTGCCAGTTCGCTGACAGATGCTGAGTAGTCTGATTTACCAAAAGAAGGAATTTCATCATTTACGTCTATCACTCTAACAAGAACATGTACTGAAGAATTTAAACTAGGGGTCCCTCTATCTTTTACAGTGACAGTGATGTTGTAAAAGTTAGATCTTTCGTGATCCAAGGAAACAGCAGTTTTGAGGTTGTACAAAGAGATGCCATTCGGCAAGGTGGTTGTAAACTCAATTTTAAACCTCCCATTGTCATTTGAAGTTTCCAAGATAACCTGTCCATTTGGACCCAGTGGATCATCATCATCTTTCACAAAAATAGTGGCTACAAGTACATTGGCACCGCTGTTTTCGATTACTTCGGCAGGGTTTTTTCGGTTTGCATATACCACTCGTATTATTTGTGGTATATTATCATTCAAATCTCTGACATGAATTTCCACCGTTGCTTGACGGCTTTGCCGTGATGGAACACCCGGTGGTTGGTCTCTAGCAGACACTTTGAAGGTGTAAAGCGTCTTCGACTCGTAATCGAGCGGTGCTCGAGTTCTGATAACCCCCGTCGTTGAATTTAATTCAAAGTTATTTGAATCACTATCAAGGTCGAAGGAGTAAATGACTTCACCGTTCAAAGAGTGATCTTTATCAGTGGCAGAAACGGCTAAAATTTCCACACCAGCTGGACTGTTCTCGTCCACCGTAGCATTGTACGAGTTTTTCGTAAACACCGGATCGTTGTCGTTCAAATCTATAATTGTAATATTCACCAAACAATAGGAACGCAGTGAGGGTTTCCCGCGGTCAGAAGCGGAGATATTTATCAGGTAAGCAGCGACTTTCTCTCGATCAAGGCTGCCTTGTGTTATGATGCATAGAGCAGTGCCACCACATTCGGTTGTGTTCCTTCCAAGTTTGAATTTTCCGTCCTCGTTGCCGGCCACAATCGCATAATCGATCGTGCCATTTTCAGCCGCATCGATGTCAGTTGCTGAGTCGATCGCATACACACTGTTAGAAGGCACATTTTCGAAAATGTCCACAAGAAACACGGGTGATGAAAACTCGGGCGTGTTATCATTGATGTCTTCCACTCGAACGTGAACCGAGAAAGACGGAGAAGAAGAAGAAGAAGAATTTTGAACTTGCAGGACTATAGGATTTGTGTTTAAACTGTCACGATCGATTGGCGATTTAGTAGTGATAACCCCAGTTTGCGGATTGAGTGCAAATTGACGTGAAACGAGTGAGTATGTTTCTCCTTGTTGAATGTTAATCGTACCCACAATAGCTCCCGGCTGTAATTCTTCCTGGACTTGAAAACTGTACAGTTGAGCGGATATTGAAGGCAAAAGTGCTGCATAATAGCATACAAACGTCCAAAACAAAGTTCCAAGCTGTAATTTCGCCCTCGTTGTGCCTAGGAGGGTTTCTTTAACCATTGCTTTCCAGTTCCAGAAATTCCGACTTCATCCAAGATGTCATAATACTGAAGTTGTGACGCTAGTTTCACAAATGAGAGAGAACATAGCCAGTTTGTCGCTTGTCGGAGGGCACTACAAAATATATACGACAATCCAAACCGTTAATGCGTTACACGGGACAATAAATACAAACTTTGCCGGAGTTGTTCGTCTGACATTCTGTATAAACAACTCTCCTTCGCAATAACTTCGCTCCAGGACGTTGATAAAACAATAACACTCAAACAACGATATCTTTTACACAAACTGCCAACTAGAGCATGCGAAATTGTGTGTTTCTAAGGAAAATATTGAGGCACATTCGCTTTCCACTTTACGAGACAAAACTAATAAAAGCCATCAATCGTAAAGCCGCCGCGGAGTTCGAATCTGTCAATCATCAATGACGCGTAGAGGCTCTACAACAGGAGTAGGCGGGGTTGTTGTTAACTCACGTGACTTGCAGACAAACATGCATAAATTCCTCGCCTTCAGAGAATCAATAAACTGTTTCTTTAGAGGAAAGAGTGGAATTTATGCTATTTTAGCATATTCATTATGTTTTTAATTAATTACTCTTTTTTGTCGCCAGGTTTTCTGCCTGCAAGGCTCAATTACACGTCAAAAAACAGCTTCTTTCCGGGGACTATGCACATTTTAACATAGCGTGTCGGAGGGGGCGTGAATCGACCATGTTGAGTGGATATCAATTTACGACTGACAAATTAAAGCAGTTGGACGCAAACAAGTTCATTGTCACAAAATTGAAAGATTGTATTTCCTGCATAAAAGACTGATGTGCCTTGACCTATAGGCGTTTCTCTTCGCAAGAGGGCCTGAGAAAATAAATTATAAACAAATGATAAAATCATTCACGCATGTTCAAAAGAAACTAAGCCAGAATGCGCGCGATCCCAAGAGTACAGAGACCACCTAGAACGATGCAGACATAGAAAGAAAGCATCAGCGATGGACAGTGGGTGTATGAAGTGATGAAGGTGGTATATTCGCTCCATGTTACAACAGCAGGCTAATATAATCTGAATAGTTTTCGTGGTGCGTTTCCCATTATTTCCAAAGGTTATAAAGCCAAGTTTGAAAGAACAGCACAATTGCTCCTAATTAGAGGTCGAAGTAAAAACGGATTATGGTTATTTTTCTTCGGAAACATCATCGTTTAAACGTGTCGTTAAAAATCCTCCGAGGTATGTGATTAAGAAAGCGAAAGCTACTTTGCTTAAGAGTGCTAGCTGACTTAAGTCACGAATTGAAAATGAAAAGTAAACAGAAACTATGAACGAAAAACTGATTTATTTTATTGCAACGATGCTCTGTAAACATGCATTGCTAAGAAAATAATCAATAAACATATTGTCATAAGAAAAAACATAAATCACATTTAAACGCCGAATTGGTAATAAAGAAAAATCAAAGTAAATGTCAATGGTGGTCCAATATTAGTTTCTCATTTTTCTTCCAGTCACCCGTCTTTCGCTCTCAACTCTCAAAAAGAAATGTTATAAACAATGAACACGAGAAATAAAGTTATTTACTGTCATAGATGTTTTGAGTTTAGTCGCGTGTCATTTTACTTTTAAACAGCTGTTGGAATTTAAAACAATTTGATATTGAAATGATCAACTCATGCGAACAAAGTAATCGACCGGAAGTTTTATACCAGCCTTGGCTTAAAGGAAGTGAAATAGGAACATTTTCTAAAAAGTAGACGAAACTGAGGTGTTAGCGTTACGAAAAAAATAAATGCATTAAAACTCAAGTCAAGGGGCAGAGGCTTTGGATGTAAATACGTAAATTCCATCTTAGACGAGAATTTTATTGAACACGTACGTTCAGGGGTTTATAACGAAAGGTTAATTGGTTTTCCAATTTTTGCTGTTTTTTGCATGTCAAGCAATATAAGGTGATATCGCAAGTAGTGAACTTTGGAGTTTTTTTTGTCTTATTTTAGGCATTTTGAAAAATTGACACTTAAGTAAGGAATTTTGATAATCCTTTCCGCCTCACACACAACCAAGCTGTCAGAGATTAATATCTATTGTTAAATATGTTTTTCGACAATTTCATGCAGCACTTCGCCCCCTGTAAATTGATAATTTCATTACGAGCCAAATAATTCATCCGCTAATGTGAAAAGTGACTTCTTTGCAACAATATTAAAGTTGAGGAATGGCACTGACCATTCAAATATTTTTATGGCATTCTCATCTAATTAGTCTTCGACCCGTAACCACTGTTGTATTTTGTATCAAGAATGATGAAAGGTGAAATGTGCGGGTCAAAGCATAGTGCTCACTGACTTGTTTACTGTACATAGCGCACAACGAACAAGAGACGTTTAAATAGCGACTAGATACGAGCTGTAATATTTCAACTATTTCCTTCAGGAAATATGTATGTACAGTTTCAATATTGGATTTGTAAGGGGGCGAGAGGGTGTGTGGGGGAATGGATGGACCTTTTCACGGTTTTTTTTTCCCAGCTCTTGACATGGACAGGTTCAGGAAAATCCGTCGACAGCACTGACAAGAGCGCCTTCAAATTATCAAAGTTGCCAAGTTTGAATGTGATTTGTTGAAAAATAACGAAGATACAGCTCCTCAAGTCGTGAAATTTTACAGACGTTTGATGATGGGGGGCACAAGCGCGCTTGCCCCCCACCTTTCAAGCGTCTGTAAATTTTCGCAACTTTATATCTTCCCTCGCTAAAGACGTATCGATTTCAAATTTGGCAATTTCGCTAATTTTAAGGCGCTCTTTTCGCAACGAACGAATAAAATGGAGTTAAAAATGAAAGGTCGTATTTGTAAGAGTTGCCATTTCCGAATCACTTGTTTGTGTCAAGCGTTTTAAACGGAAAAGAAAAATAAACAGGGAAAGATGAGAGGAAATGTCGACAATCCATGTAGTCATGTTTGGTTCACTGAGGGTTGTTTCAAGAAGGCTGTTTCCTGTGATAAACACTGTATCTATCGATCCCAGGGAAAGCCGGAGAAATGGAGTCATCACAACAAAGACCAAAAAATATTCTGAAGCGACGGAATTTGGGAGAGGTATAGACAACGTTTCTAAAATTTGGGGGAAATTAAACCGTAGCAGCGAGACTGCTGAATGGGAAACTTTCCGCTGTTGGAAACCGAGGAGTTTTGGCACAGTTTAATTAATCAGAGACACCTATTTATTTCAGGATAAAACTACTAAAGACACTAAACGGATTAACTGTCCAAAAACAAGCCAACACGAAAATGTTTTTTTAAAGACCTCTTTAAACTGCTGTTTGATCAAAACATTTACCGACTGACAATTAAGTTGAAATTGTTTTCCCGGCTTTAACTAGAAACTATTTTAAAAGAGACACTTATGGTGACCCAAGCAATGCAGGTTTGATGCAAGTGAAATCTAGAAAAACAATTTAGATTTGATTTCATGACACCTTATTAACCTTACCTTAATCTGGCAAATCTTTGAAAGGTATTTTTAATTCTTCATACTGCATTACAGAATATCATATCAGTATACGAGTGTACGTTAGTAACCGCAACATTGGGTAAATCCATGATATAGGTTTTATTTATTGTACAAACATTAACCACAAAGGACTGCAAAGGACCGCAAAGGAATATGCCGAAGAACGTAGGATCTATAAACACCTGATTTTCACGTAGTACGATCAAAATTGCAGTATTCTGCTTGCAGAATTTAATATGTTTCATTTATTATTCACTGCCTTAAAGAATATCGTATCAGTATGCCAGTGTAGGCTAGCAAGACTTGCCACAGGGGCAAAATTAAGAGAGGGCTACCTAAAGAGCTAGAGGCAAACAGTTCATGTTCTCTTGGCACGACTTCGGCATGCATGAATCTATCCCTAGCATTAGGCATTCGTAAAAAGATCATGTTCCTTTCTTTTGAAATATTTGGCTCCTAGCATTTTTCGGGGAAATACAGTATGGAACTATCAACAAATTACTCAAAAACCTCATTTAAAAATTGAATTTGATATAACCGCAGCTGATCGTCTTCAAGTCCGAGACCTGTTTGGAAATTGCAGATAATGAATAATTTGTGTTCAAAAACTGTCACGTGAATCTACCGATTTTCGTGTAGTTATAATGAGCAGGAAACGACAAGCTTATAATTTCAGTTTAATTTAGCTCGCGAAGCGCACGCAGGACATAATGCTGACAATGTAATCAGCCGATCTAGGAATGGACATACGAGAAACGGCAAAGAAAAAATGTGGAACAGTATTTTCCAAAGCATTCGAATCCTTCATGAGCTTCTTTTACATATTTTGAAATCGGAGGATACTTACGTTGACACATCTAAGTTTACACTAAATAAATCAAGGATGGTGGCTTAAAAAATAAATTAATTTCAAAAGTAGTTTCGTTGACTTTCTTCTCCTTTCCCTCTTTTTTCTTCCAAGTGAAAGTCAGTGTACTCTGTGTTTTCCTTTGCCCGCCTCGATAAGCTAGCTCATCTTTGCGAGCAGGGGATACAGTACTTTAAAGTTCAGTTTGTAATCATGTATACGAAAGAATAAACTCTGAAATTCAAAATTCCAAATAAATGAGTTAAATTGAAAAATGAAAAAGTTCAGGCCTGAAATTGGGGTGTAAAAATCACATAATTTGGTCTTAAATTAGGTACAGTAAGTATCAAGGGAGTATTCCCGGTATTGTCATGAACAAAGTTTCAGTTAAGACAGGTTACAACTAATTGCTGAAATTGACAATTAGGAAAGGCACATGACCTGTAACCACAGAAAGGTGACGCATTGTTGACTATTTAGGTGTCAAAAAGTTAATTGGTTTTCTTCGCTTCCGCCGAGTGGACTGGCCCCTGTAAACAAGAATAAGGTGCCCGAGCTATATCGTTGAGCTATATAAAAATATATTGGCATTTTTGCCGCTAACGAAGATTGATAAGTTGATTACATTCAAAAATGAAAAATTGGGTCAACCAAGTTAATTTTGTAGTAATTATGTTTGTAATGTTTTGTCCCGTTGCTATGGAAACCTGTCTTCGTGAAGAAACCAGAAACTGTTTACCCTGCGACCAGAGGCCTTTCGATCTTCCAAGATCTCGAAAGACCGAAGGGCCTCTGCGGCGCAAGGTAGAAACTGTTACGAGCCACCTTAATCTGTAAATAATGCACTATCGAGAATAGTTGTCTATCAGGGCTATCTATTTTCTGAACGCAACGGTTCCGCAGAAACTCATAAAGGGATAATGAGTTTCTACATATTGGAGGAAATAAGCTTTTAAAAATCAAAAATGCATTGTTTTTGAAGCAGCAAGACGTTGAATAGGGAACTGGAGTAGAAGCCAAACGGTATATTATGTTATTCTGGTATCTCAGTCACATTTTGGAAGCCCGATCAGGATGTTTCATAGGCAGTACATATCCGCCGTTTGCTAAAACACACATAATTTGTAGAATAAACAAGCAGTTACTTTCCGTCAG